AATGAATGAATTAGATTTTCTTAAGCCAAATGTGGCAATTTCATGCAGAATGCAAGGATTGGTTGTCTAGAACAGGGATTCTCAACTCGCGGCTTTTTACTTGAAAGACTCTGATCTAGAATATAATTTACCTCTCTGATTACAAAAGATTGCAAATACATACAATTATAATGGCACATTTTCGGCTTATCTTTAAGCACAAGTCCTTCAGCAAACTAACCATGACACCTACTTTCAGTCAACAACAAGAATTGAGACTTAAATTTAAAATGGCACGATTTCAGCTTATCTTTAAGCACAAGTCCTCCAGCAAACAATTTTCATCTTTGACACCTAAATTTAAATTCTTCACCCTTTTATGATCCGTTTTCCATGTGTCTCCATATCATTATAAACTTGTCGTTCTTCTTCAGAAAACTTGATTTTTTCTATAAATACATTTCTAGCTGGTAGTTCAACCAATGGTTTACCGTTAACTTGTTGATTCTTCGTTCGTCTCAGTCCAATATTCGCCACCAACGCTCGAACACGTCTGAAAATCACCAACACAAACCTTTTTTTTTGAACATGTATTGTGAGTTGCCTTACTTTGCTCAAATGTGAAAATTTAAAAGTTATGCTGGAATATCCATTAATGAAAGGTTGAATACTTACGTGATAGCGGACTCATCTCCATGGAATATTGGACGTTCAATAGTTTTTCGCCACAACGATAATTGATTGAGAGGACTGATATCTAGAAAATTAACCAGTGAATATAAATCTCTGAGGTTATTCTGAATTGGTGTTCCTGGAAGATAAAGGGACATAACTGTTACTTCAGACGATAAATTAAGTCTCTAACAATGCTTGAACAACCATCAAAACTAAATGTGCAGTTCCTAAATAACTCTTACTGTTACTTAGAAAAGACAGGCTTAATTAAAACATCTGGTGCTTACGAAAATAATAATAACACTTCTCTCATTTCAGGATTATAAGTATCAAATAAGAAGGGGGCATAAAACGTATTTTTGTGCGTGATTTAAGAACACCCCATAAGAGCATATATTTAACAATCTTGACATACAGAATCTTTTCAAACTAACCTGTTATCACCCATTTTCTTTCAGCTTTCAGTTCCGTTATAGCCAGGGCCCTCAGGGTGTCAGGATTTCGGATTTCATGACCCTCGTCTAGAATGATCCGTAACCAATGAATTTTACGTAAACGATTGCCACCCTAAAATAAAAAGTTTTTGAACTTTTAGATGACCTTCTTCTGGATAAGAAGGCTCAAATTGTAACACTGAGCTTTGAACACTATTACTGATTCATATTGATTAATTAATTATTTCTTTATTTTTATGAAAACAAACCTTAAATTCAGCCGTTATGGTACCATAAGTAGAAATAACAACGTCTTGGCTCTCTAGTAATTTACTGTCAGTGGTTCGATGACTGCCATGAAACTTGTAAATTTTTAATTTGACATCTTCTCTTACATGTTCCTCCAACTGACACTAAATAAATATATATAAAATATCTCAATAGACATATTAAGACAGAACCCAACAAGACATGTTGTTGTTACTCAGAGTTTCATGATGTGCGATCTTCAGGCAACTGACCTATTCTAAGCCTGCATCCCACTAAAATTTGACAGTCGTATGCTATCAAACATGTCAAATAATTTTTCGTTTATGTGTGTGTGTGTGAGATTTTAAGTTTTATTTTTTTTAATTGTAAATATTTAGGAAGAAGTTACCTGCCAATTGTAAATAACTGACAGTGGACAGATTATTAGAGTTGTTCGTGGTTTGTCTGTCGTACTGTTACAGCTACCCGTCACTGAAAATAGATTGATTGATAAAAATTCACTGCCTCATACAGAGCTATTTAGATAATGTGAACCATGGTCTTATCTAATTACTAATAAGGGGGCATGGTTTAAACAACGATGAGCAACATTAACCTTTCAGTCATCAAACTCAAGATTAGGGACCAAGGGTAATAAATATTCATGATGTCTGACAAATCAACATAGCCATTATTTATGGTTTGTTTTGTAAATAAAAACATATGGATGGAACTATTAAATATTATATCAGTAAGGGCAATCTCAAAAATATAAGTTGAGGAGATTTTCAAACCACACTTGGTGGGATTTTTGAACAGACTAAGGCGGAACGGGTTGAATAGGATTGGGTTGAACAGGATTAGGTTGAACAGGATTTGGTTGAAACAAAATACGTAGAAAGAGAAAAGGTAGAATAGGATTAGATTGACTTGGAATAGGTTGATATGGAACAGTTGTACCAGGAAAAGGTAGAACAGGATTAGATTGACTTGGAATAGGTTGATCTGGAACAGTTGTACCCGGAAAAGGTAGAACAGGATTAGATTGACTTGGAATAGGTTGATCTGGAACAGTTGTACCAGGAAAAGGTAGAACAGGATTAGATTGACTTGGAATAGGTTGATATGGAACAGTTGTACCCGGAAAAGGTAGAACAGGATTAGATTGACTTGGAATAGGTTGATCTGGAACAGTTGTACCCGGAAAAGGTAGAACAGGATTAGATTGACTTGGAATAGGTTGATATAGAACAGTTGTACCAGGAAAAGGTAGAACAGGATTAGACTGACTTGGAATAGGTTGATCTGGAACAGTTGTACCCGGAAAAGGTAGAACAGGATTAGACTGACTTGGAATAGGTTGATATGGAACAGTTGTACCCGGAAAAGGTAGAACAGGATTAGACTGACTTGGAATAGGTTGATCTGGAACAGTTGTACCCGGAAAAGGTAGAACAGCATTAGATTGACTTGGAATATTTTGATCTGGAACAGTTGCACCAGGAAAAGGTAGAACAGGATTAGATTGACTTGGAATAGGTTGATCTGGAACAGTTGTACCCGGAAAAGGTAGAACAGGATTAGATTGACTTGGAATAGGTTGATCTGGAACAGTTGTACCAGGAAAAGGTAGAACAGGATTAGATTGACTTGGATTAGGTTGTACAGGATTAGATTGAACCGAAATGGTTGGTTTTTTTTCTCCATTTTTCAGTTTTTCAGGCAAAGAGTTGTATCGGGCTAAAAAACAATAAGTAACATCATAAATATTAGGCAAGTCTTTAGGCGAGTTCAATATCAAATTTATTTTTTGCATCCTATCTCGTGCAGATGAAAATTATCAGAGTAAAAAGAAAAAGATTTGTAAACTAATTCTAATTATAATGCAGATTTACTGACCTCGTTTAGCTGGTGGTTTAATTTCTTTATCTGAATCGTCAGAATTAACTTCAACGTATCGTGTTGCTTTCTTTCTGTTTCTTTCACGTCCATCTGAATTTGATGAAGAGTCTGAATTAAAAAAATCGAACAAGACGTCGGCCACAGTCTGAACTTGTCCGTTGTCAGTAGCAACCATGTCGCTATGTTTAGCACCCTGTGATGTTAAGTCTATACATGGAGCACTATTAGAATTTTTATCACTGTCAGTTAGCATCTTTTTTTCTGATTTATTTTTCAACTTAAATTCACAGTCATTTGATTTAGGGTCCAATGATTTGACCTCATGTTCATTTGATTTCACTTCAAAGTCGTTGGAAGAATCTGGTTTAAGAAAATCGAGCAAGACATCAGCAACAGTCTGAACTTGTCCATTGTTAGTAGCAACCTTGCTGTTGTCAGTCACAACCTTGCTGTTGTCAGTCACAACCTTGCTGTTGTCAGTAGCAACCTTGCTGTTGTCAGTCACAACCTTGCTGTTGTCAGTCACAACCTTGCTGTTGTCAGTAGCAACCTTGCTGTTGTCAGTCACAACCTTGCTGTTGTCAGTCACAACCTTGCTGTTGTCAGTAGCCACCATGGCGTTATGTTTATTACTATGGGATATTTCAATCACAATGTTTTTTCCTGATATATTTTTCAACTTAGATTCACTGATATGAACAACTTGTGGGTTATTTGATTTAGGGTCAAGTGATTCATCTTCACGTCCGTTTGATTTCATTTTCACAGCAACATCATCAGAGTTTGATGAAGAGTCTGAATTAAGAAAATCGCGCAAAATGTCAGCAGCTGTCTGAACTTGTCTGTTGTTAGTAGCAAGCATGTTGTTATGTTTAGCACTATGGGATGTTAAGTTTACACATGAAGCACTATTAGTTTTATTTCTAGATATAGCAACTTGAAGAATATCATCATCATCATCATCATCATCATCATCATCATCAAGGAAACTTTGCGATTTATTCTTCAACAGTGTTTTTTTCACATCTCCAGATTCTGAACTGGAATCAAATAGTTTAAAGGTACATTTTGGAACTTTACTCTGAAATATTCTCAGAGATTCTGCTGCCTTTCTTTCTTCTTCTTCATCAGAATCTTCGATATAAATTACATCATCAACAGGACATTGATGATAGTGGTTGGCTTTTGAGGTTGTCTTTGACGAACCGGCCTGTGTTCTGTTTGTTGATTTCTGGAAAAACCAAAAGTCATTATCTCTCATCAATTAGGCCAAGTGAATTAAAGAATTTTGCCTAAAAAGGGGAATGCGAATACCAGATGCATAAAAACAGGATTTCCCAGTGTGTCATATTTTAGTTTCAAATTTTGTTATTCAAATAATGTCAGTGAAGAGAGTAATCCTTGATCATCGGGCCTGTAGCTGGAGCTTCCCCACTCAGAAAATTTTACCCACCCCCTGAGACATTGGGCTGGCCACAGGCCTGTTAATCATAGCTGTTAGTATATCATTTCCTTCAAATATCTCATTAATGGTTGATCTGTATGGGTACCAAAAGTTATGTTAAATGTGGTTATTGATTATTTAGTACAAACCTCTACTGTAGTCTTGTAAATTGACTGTTGGCTGAGGTGTTTTTGACTGACATCTGGTGTGGCCAATGGCTGACCATCGTGGAAATTGGTTAAAATAAGGGAGATAACTTCCAGAGTTTTTCCAAGTCCCATGTCGTCTGCCAAAATACCTGAAAGAAACAAACATTTTCATAATAAACAATTGATGTATTGATCACTATTTTAGCAGTGAAAAGTGAAAATATTTAATTATTGTAATTTACAATTATAATCTGATTGTATAACCATAGTATCAATGAAAGAAACATCATCGAAAGGGCTGGTAACACTTTTTCTGTAAATTCAAAACTGAACTATCACTGCTACAATGCAAATTGAACACTGATGTTGAATATGGTTCAATCAATGGATTAAGAAATATACACCGACATAAAACAGTGGGAACTGAAACATGTAAACTAAACAAACCTCCGTGAACTGTAGATGGTCTATGAGAAGTAGTATACCCTGTTAAACTATTGTAATAACGGTGTCCTCCTTTCTCCCAGAACGGTGGTAACGCTTCATTATTCTCCTTACATATCATCCAGTTTAACGCCTGTTTCTGATGGGGGTATAGCGGTGTTCTTATAGCCTGAAATATGGTACCAAAAATCATGAAATAACTATGACATGTTGCACAGACAACACCAACTAAAGTATGGGGCTCGAACTGAATCAAGCTTTGGTCTCACGAAGTCTGAGCTAACAAGAAAAATTGGGAGGCAAGGTGATCTTTGACTGACAATGACGTCATTCACCCCGGACATACAGAAAATCATGAGAGAACATTCGACTGAAAGGTTACATTGAACTATGGTGAAATGTAGAGTATAATTTTATATCTATTTATGGTTAATCGTTGAATATATTGTTGGAGTGAAATACGTTTCAAAATAACTGATTTATTTTGGGGAGGAATAGATTTAGAAGAACTCTGTCAGGTAGGAATGATCTCACTAAGGTTAATAAGCACTGCATTGGAGCATTAGGATTATTAAGGCTTCACATTGGACAAAAGTTATATCTAATCATTGTAATGGTAGCTAATTAGTTAATCAATAAGTACCTGTGTTGGTTCAGCCATGGCCGTCTTGCCCCCCTCTTCTAGCGAATCAAATAATTTATCCATTTCAGTTTTAACCTGAAATATCAACCTTCACTTACTGGAGTATTTAACAAATTTAACATGATCCTCATAAAAACACCGAGAATCCAGGGAATATATAAATATCTAATCATAAAAACACTGAGAATCCAGGGAATATATAAATACCTAATAATAAAAACACTGAGTATGCAGGGAATATATAAATACCTAATTATAAAAACACTGAGAATGCAGGGAATATATAAATACCTAATCATAAAAACACTGAGAATGCAGGGAATATATAAATACCTAATCATAAAAACACTGAGAATGCAGGGAATATATAAATACCTAATTATAAAAACACTGAGAATGCAGGGAATAATACCTAATCATAAAAACACTGAAAATGCAGGGAATATATAAATACCTAATCATAAAAACACTGAGAATGCAGGGAATATATAAATACCTAATCATAAAAACACTGAGAATGCAGGGAATATATAAATACCTAATCATAAAAACACTGAGAATGCAGGGAATATATAAATACCTAATCATAAAAACACTGAGAATCCAGGAATATATAAATACCTAATCATAAAAACACTGAGAATGCAGGGAATATATAAATACCTAATCATAAAAACACTGAGAATGCAGGGAATATATAAATACCTAATCATAAAAACACTGAGAATGCAGGGAATATATAAATACCTAATTATAAAAACACTGAGAATCCAGGAATATATAAATACCTAATTATAAAAACACTGAGAATGCAGGGAATATATAAATACCTAATTATAAAAACACTGAAAATGCAGGGAATATATAAATACCTAATCATAAAAACACTGAGAATCCAGGGAATATATAAATACCTAATTATAAAAACACTGAGAATGCAGGGAATATATAAATACCTAATTATAAAAACACTGAGAATCCAGGGAATATATAAATACCTAATCATAAAAACACTGAGAATCCAGGAATATATAAATACCTAATCATAAATGTGACAATTTCTCATGGGGGTTGATTGGACCTAGAATATATTTAATAATTAATTAATTAGCTATCACTAAATACCTCATCTGATTCAGGTTTGAGGTTCTCATCTTCCTCATCTTCCTCATCTGAAGCATCAAATAATCCACCTGTTTCATTTCTATTCTACAAAATCAAAATCCTTCAGATACAGGACAAATTTCAACAAATGTAACATAATTTTGATAAAAAAAAACTGAAATACACCAATATCTAAGCTAAGAAATTTTTGGTCTAAGAGGAAAATGAATTATTTTGCTTGATCATAGAATATAGGTAAAGAAAAAAAGCAATTTCTTAACATCATTTTTGTAATAGCTTCATATTATAAGCTCAATATCAATTGCCAATGTGAAGCTTGTTATAATATACTCTTGTATTCATCACATAAAAACAACATCCTTACCTTTTTGGGTGGACGGAAACCACTGCTTGACAGGACATGCCTGTAGTCTGGACCTGAATGACTGCCGGACACTTGATGACCTGATTCTTGACAACCAGACAAATGACTGCTAGAAGCTTGACTGGATGAGGTTTCACCAGAATTTTCTTTTGGAGTAAAACCACGAGATCTTAAAACAGAAAACGCTTCCTCCTTCTTCTCCAGATCTCCCCACAATGTTATCTCTAGTCTCATTGCATGCTTGTATAAATAACCCATGACTGCAACTCTAAAATAACATAACCCTTATCAATTTTAATTAACATAACTCTTATCAATTTTAAATAACATAACCCTTATCAATTTTAATTAACATAACTCTTATCAATTTTAAATAACATAACTCTTATCAATTTTAATTAACATAACTCTTATCAATTTTAATTAACATAACCCTTATCAATTTTAATCAACATAACTCTTATCAATTTTAATTAAAATAACCCTTATCAATTTTTATTAAAATAACCCTTATCAATTTTAATCAACATAACCCTTATCAATTTTAATTAAAATAACCCTTATCAATTTTAATTAACATAACTCTTATCAATTTTAATTAACATAACCCTTATCAATTTTGATTAACATAACTCTTATCAAAACATAACCCTTATCAATTTTAATTAACATAACTCTTATCAATTTTAATTAACATAACCCTTATCAATTTTAATTAAAATAACCCTTATCAATTTTAATCAACATAACCCTTATCAATTTTAATTAAAATAACCCTTATCAATTTTTATTAAAATAACCCTTATCAATTTTAATCAACATAACCCTTATCAATTTTAATTAAAATAACCCTTATCAATTTTAATTAACATAACTCTTATCAATTTTAATTAACATAACCCTTATCAATTTTGATTAACATAACTCTTATCAAAACATAACCCTTATCAATTTTAATTAACATAACTCTTATCAATTTTAATTAACATAACCCTTATCAATTTTAATTAACATAACCCTTATCAATTTTAATTAACATAACTAAAAAAATTGATCCATACCTTTAAACTATCTAAAAGGTTTACGTAAATATATATTGTTATATTTTACTAGTTTTAAATTATGGAAATTCTGCATACTTCCCCTTTAATAAAACAGTTGTAAAGTAAAAATAACTGTCAAGAGTTGGTCTAGTGTTAGCTTTCCTTAACCTTCTCTCCAAAAAACAGGAGTTGCCTACCCTTCTAATCGTGCAAGTTTATTATCCAGTATGAAAGTTAAAGTTTCCGCCAGATCGCGTTTAATATGACCAACTTGTTCAGAATCCATGTTAACCACTTGGATAGCATTTTTATAATACTCATCGTCTCGTTTTAACATCAACTTTTCTTTTGCCTCAACCTGCAGTATAAAAATAATATAGATCATTTATTACCAACTTCATCTTATACCTTGACTACAATAGCCACATTTTTTATATCTTCTCAATATCAAGCTATTACCAACTTTGTAATCATATGTTGACTGAAATAGTGAATTTCTTGTATCACAGAGGTTTTCAATATGACTGAAACATAAATATTTAAATCAGTAACAAATCTATTAATATCCGAAATAAATCGTATTATATATCACTACTTACTCTTCCTTTAAAATGTTGAATTCTGACAACGCCAAGGATACTGCCAAACATCACATCATTAAATTCATTGGACGATACATCTTGTGCTGAACCAATCGACAAATCATCATCATCATCACTTTTGAACTTCATATGATTCTCTCCCGATTCCCACTGACTTGCTCCCACTAAATCCGCAAACCACGAAACATCGTCATTAGAAAACGGTTTATCCCATCCTGGAACAGGCTTACTTTGTTTTTGCCCTTGCATACTGGTTATATTAAATAAACCAAGTAATAACGATCCGAACCACAAAACGAAACCTGGTATTATTCTCTTTCACTCCTTAAGGTTTAATTTGGTTCCCACCCCAGGATGAGGTGAAATCATTATAATGTCAATACATAAGTTTATTAAAATAACAATGAGTTGATGATACAGCCAGCCTACAGTCTGCAAAATGCATTCTAAAGGATAAAAAGATGAAATACCACTAAAATTTGATAAATATCAACTTTTTGTGACCTTGGCCACACTTATTCTATAGAAGAATATTTTCTATAACATCCAAAATCAACTTTGAAGGTAGTTGTGAACAATTAGCTGAAATATACAAATACAAATTTCTGTTAATGTACAATAATATATGTATTAATAGATGACAATATAAAATAATATGTAAAGGATTTACTACAGATGTCACTATAATTAAATAATAATAAAACTATATGGGTGATAACTCTTTATTCTCTATATGGGGAAATTAATTGTGGTCTGATTAATACCATATTGAAGACCACCTCTCTTTATTCTCTATATGGGGAAATTAATTGTGGTCTGATTAATACCATATTGAAGACCACCTCTCTTTATTCTCTATATGGGGAAATTAATTGTGGTCTGATTAATACCATATTGAAGGCCACCTCTCTTTATTCTCTATATGGGGAAATTAATTGTGGTCTGATTAATACCATATTGAAGACCACCTCTCTTTATTCTCTATATGGGGAAATTAATTGTGGTCTGATTAATACCATATTGAAGACCACCTCTCTTTATTCTCTATATGGGGAAATTAATTGTGGTCTGATTAATACCATATTGAAGACCACCTCTCTTTATTCTCTATATGGGGAAATTAATTGAGGTCTGATTAATACCATATTGAAGGTCACCTCTCTTTATTTTTCTATATGGGGAAATTAATTGTGGTCTGATTAATACCATATTGAAGGCCACCTCTCTTTATTCTCTATGGGGAAATTAATTGTGGTCTGATTAATACCATATTGAAGGCCAACCTCTCTTTATTCTCTATATGGGGAAATTAATTGTGGTCTGATTAATACCATATTGAAGACCACCTCTCTTTATTCTCTATGGGGAAATTAATTGAGGTCTGATTAATACCATATTGAAGGCCACCTCTCTTTATTCTCTATGGGGGAAATTAATTGTGGTCTGATTAATACCATATTGAAGGCCACCTCTCTTTATTTTTCTATATGGGGAAATTAATTGTGGTCTGATTAATACCATATTGAAGGCCACCTCTCTTTATTCTCTATGGGGAAATTAATTGTGGTCTGATTAATACCATATTGAAGGCCACCTCTCTTTATTCTCTATGGGGAAATTAATTGAGGTCTGATTAATATTATATTGAAGACCACCTCTCTTTATTCTCTATGGCGAAATTAATTGAGGTCTGATTAATATTATATTGAAGACCACCTCTCTTTATTCTCTATATGGGGAAATTAATTGTGGTCTGATTAATACCATATTGAAGGCCACCTCTCTTTATTCTATATGGGGAAATTAATTGAGGTCTGATTAATACCATATTGAAGGCCACCTCTCTTTATTCTCTATGGGGAAATTAATTGTGGTCTGATTAATACCATATTGAGGGCCAACCTCTCTTTATTCTCTATATGCGGAAATTAATTGAGGTCTGATTAATATTATATTGAAGGCCAACCTCTCTTTATTCTCTATATGCGGAAATTAATTGAGGTCTGATTAATATTATATTGAAGGCCAACCTCTCTTTATTCTATATGCGGAAATTAATTGAGGTCTGATTAATACCATATTGAAGACCACCTCTCTTTATTCTCTATGAGGAAATTAATCCTGGTCTGATTAATCGACCTCTGTATATTACATGACTCGGCAATAAACAGTGGTACCCTGATTCTAGAAAAGTCTTACAACTTAAGAAATATGATTTTCATATCTTTTTTTTTCTCCAAAAATGTGTCAGAATGCAGCAAATCAATTCGATCTTTCTTAAAATAAATTGAGGGGAGAGCCTCTCAGTCTCAAACGATGAATTTTGAATCTCAAACACGACAGTTTTCCCACCGTTTCCTATTTATTCAGTTTGTCCCTTTTTTGTACCCCGTCACCCACCCCACCCCAACCCCCCTTGGAAAATATCGTTGAACTCCGAGGCCACCTCACCCAATGTTTCTAGAAACTTCACTGGTCAAATTTAACCAAATTGATCTGATAGATTTTGACAACGTGCAGTCCTAGACTATAATATAAGTTTATTGTAGATATACTTCATGTTTTTATATTTAAATCCATTATTTTTCACCCTGATAACATTTGGAAAGCGTGACCTAGTAAAAATATCGTTATATATTGCATATATAGTCCCTCCCATAGTCTTACTTTCATTTTCATTTCGGTCTCTTTTCATTCTCTCACTCGTCACCCTCCAATTATCTCACTTAATCTAGAATTTTATAATTAAAAAACCATCAATTCTATAACAGAATAATATTCTGATGTGGGTTATTAATTATCACAGCTCTCAGAGAAATATAGACTAGACTAGCCTACCTGAATAAAATACTTCCTACTTGTTCATAGTTTTACTTTCAACAAACTTTATTTTCCTCATCTTATTAACTTCTTGTGTCTTATTGCTTTATTCTTTTAATAATCAAATACTTACAGACTTAATCTTTCTCTACTGTATTATCTGCCTATATCAGTATTATCTCGTTAAATAAAGTAGGCTACGTCTAAATTCCAATCTAAACCTCCTTACTTGTTATGTTTATCTGAGTGAAAAAACCCAACGTATCTGAATAGGATCGTGATGCAGTTTGAATTGATTGGATCAAAAAATAAAGATAAATCCATGGCGAATTTAAAATTTAAAATAACTTTATTTTTATAATCGTCCCCCACAAATTTTCTATACCCCTTATCCCTTGCATTTACCCCAGGAATAACCTAACCCCCTCCCCCACACCCCCGGAATCTCCAGTCGCAGTATAAGTGACTTAAGGGGTTGGGGCGTGTACAAAGCCTCTTCATGTGTCATTTATGGGTTTGCAACGATTTTGCAAAATGTTCATGCATAGGCTATTTGGCATGTGCCATGCGCACCCCCATGTTATAGGCTTTAATCATTGGCCCACTGCAGTGCCTGGTATTGTGCGAACCAAAAAAAAATCCAGGCAGTTTTTACTTTGAACCTAACATTAGATGTCAGTCAAAATGTCACGTGATTGTGAAATTCTTAATCATTAAGTGAGCCACTTGATAGAAAATTTAGTCAATGTTGATTGGACGAAAAAGTTGTAGGCCCAACAGTTAACGTTCTAATATCCTGTTCAACGGTTCTTGTTAAGTAGCGGGGGGGTATTAAATATATAAATCCGCTAAGAGACTATAATATAGTATTACGGCATAATCTACGTTTGATTCCCCGACATTTGATTTTTATTTCCATTGTTTTTCAAATAAAAATCCATACAAGCAAGACAATTCCGTTAATCAAAATATATCATGACAAATTCAAGAGTAAAATCCTCATTGAAGACAGGAAATGTCTGGACGTTAGAGACTACGATTTCTAAAAGTTTTAGCGACCTTGACCTTGTCTTTTCGTCTTGATAATCAAAGAAGGTTTTTAATTTTTTAACTTTTATTCATAATAAGTTTATAGTTTTCCAGATGTTTTAAAGCTCTCCTAAAATCAAAACACGAATTTAAACATTGGATTAGATTCGTTCTTTAAAAACTTAATGATTCCATTTTTGCTGAAATCCAGAGTCACGTGACATCATTCCATTTGGGAATTTCCCTGAAATAAAATCGGGAAACAAATGTTTAGTTTTGATGAAAATTTCTAGGAAAGGTAACAATCCTAGAATAAGGCATCCTTTCCAAACTCCCCCCCCCCCCCCCCTTTAAATCTCCAGCACTCATTGCGTTTATTTATCTGTGGCATTTAAAAAATGCTAGATCTATGGACTAAATTAAAAGTGAAAGTGAAGTTACCCGAGTCCTGTTATGTCCCCTTTTCAATCTTCACTGCACAATGTGTTGTCCATGTCCAGTGATTCAGTCGTTTCTTATTGTTTTTAATCAAATATTCCAAGTGATTTACACGGCATTCATTTTTGCAATTGTTTTTGTTATTGAGGGTGGAAATAGAAAAGGGATTAGATAACTGATTTGTATCTACAGAAAGATGTTATAAGAACAGAACTTGGTTTAATTGTTAACTATGGGTAGGAGAAGAGGCTGGTTTGGTCGCGCCGGTGGCTGGTTCCAAGGAATCGGAGACATGTTCAATAACGGCTTTGGCACACGTTGGGGCTGGAACCAATCTAAACCCCAAGGAGTGAAAAAGAAGGGTAAAACTCCAAAACGAAAGAGAAGTGTTCCTACCCCAGGAAGAACTGAAGCATTTTGTAATGACGATATTTCATGGTTGGGGCGTTTTGTTGGAGCAAGTGGAATGGATGTCGGAGCAAATTATACAATTAACGTCAGTGATGATGATGATGATGATTTAATGATGTCAATGATTGGTTCATCACAAGATGTATCGTCCAATGATGTGATGTTTGGCAGTATCCGTGGCGATGTTGTTGGAATTCAACATTATAAAGGAACAGTAAGTACTTTTTTCAAATCACCTTTTTGAACTTCTGATTTAAAGCAGAGGTCATCAGGTTAGGTCAAAAGGTTATTGGGATGAATGTTCAAGAGGCCTGTCTATAGACCCTAACTGTAATCTGTAGTGGCCATATTTAAAATAAAAGTTGAATATTAAAGATGGAATGGAAGATAGATGTAATCAGAATTTTATCTGAACATTTTAGGTGAATAATGGAGAAATGGTCACATTACAGAGAGAACCACAGAATGTGTACGATAAGAATGCTATTAGAGTTGTAAACATGGATAGTCAACAAGTTGGTCATATTAAACGAGAACTGGCCAAACCCCTGGCTTTTATACTGGATAATAAGCTAGCACGAGTTGAAGGGTAGGTAACTTTTTTAGGGAGAGAGGGTGAAGGTAGTCCAACTATTATTTGGCATGGGTGGAAAAGTATGTAACTTTTGGTTAAAACAGGAAACACATCCATAATTTACACGCATTTCAGCAAAGGATGTCTGAAATGTTGTAAAACCCTTTTGGCCTTTTCTTTTTTGCTAGATAAGAGTAGGATATGATGACAAATTAATCAGACCCTTTAAAATAAGATTACAATTTTGTTTATTCTTTCCTGATTGATTTTTAATGACCTCATAATGTAACTAATCAAATTGTGTGGCAGAATTCTTGCTATCTATGAAGAATTGTGGGATAGTGGAATGGAAAGTAGAGAAAAATAACAGCCTGTTTGTGTTTGTAATTTTAGAGTCGTTCCTAGTGGTAAGAATAATGCATATAAAATACCAATAGAGATAACATTGTGGGGAGACGTTGAGAAGAAGAATGAGGCGTTGTCTGTTTTACGATCCCACGGTTTTACTCCACGAGATAATTCTGTTGGTGCCTCGTCCAGTCAAGCCTCAGGCAGTCAGCCAGGTCTAGATTACAGTCATGTTGTATCCAACAGAGTTTTTCTCTCACCAAGTGAGGTAAGAATGGTTTTGTTTTATATCTAAGTTAGCAAATATTAATAGAGTTGTTAAAAAGATAGGGATTAAAGTCCTCACTATACTTGAATATAGCGCAATTCATTGGATCTTTTTGACCAATCTACTTTTCTGAAAGAAGTTTAGATGTATTCAGTTGTTTAGCTAATGTCTTCATTTTGTATAACTCTGCATTTACTAATGTATCATGTTTATGTACTGTCATATCTTTCATCAGTACCACCTTGTTAAATTGTTGAAACGACTGTTAATTATAAACTATCATACTCTGAGGATGGCATCAATATATTGGAATCAATAGCCCTTTGTAAGCGTTATTTAGGATTATGTTAAATTTTGTTGGTATTTTTATGGATTTTGATATTTCAGGTTCGAAATGAAATGGATAAACTATTTGATACTTTAGAAGAAGGAGATAAAACCACCATGACTGAACCTACACAGGTAGGAGCTTATTGATTACTTTATACTTCTGTCAAACCACGCCCATGAGAAGCCTTCTGTGCCCATTTTTGTGCCCAGGTTGATATGAAGTAAATGACCTATTATTATATATTTCAGGCTATAAGAACACCGCTATACCCCCATCAGAAACAGGCGTTAAACTGGATGATATGTAAGGAGAATAATGAAGCGTTACCACCGTTCTGGGAGAAACGAGGACAGCGTTATTACAATAGTTTAACAGTATATACTACTTCTCATAGACCATCTACAGTTCACGGAGGTTTGTTTAGTTTGTTAATAGTGTTACCAGCCCTTTCGATGATGTTTCTTTCATTGATACTATGGTTATACAATCAGATTATAATTGTAAATTACAATAATTAAATATTTTCACTGTTTATTGTTTAAAAAGTGCCCAATACATCTATTTTGCATTAGAAAATTTTTGCATTTTCCAGGTATTTTAGCAGACGACATGGGACTCGGAAAAACTCTGGAAGTTATCTCCCTTATTTTAACCAATTTTCATGATGGTCAGCCATTGGCTGTACCAGTTGCAGGTAGAAATCGTTTTGGCCAACAGTCAAAATCAAAAACCAAAACTAAAACTAAGGTATACCTTTTTACACCTTTTACTTTATATTTACTTTCAGCATTCAACGTGGATTTTACAGTGAGGCCATATAGCGCTTTAAGTCAAATTAGTTCAGGGACATTTTAAGAATTCGTTCATTATTATAATCTTTGGTTTTTACAGAAATCAACAAAGAAAGCACAGGCCAGTACGTCAGCATCAGAAACCAACCAATCAGACTGGGATAAATTCGACCAATGTCTCGCTAACCCAGAAAATTATATCGAAGATTCCGACGAGGAAGAAGAACGAAAGGCAGCAGAAACTCTGAGAATATTTCAAAGTAAAGTTCCGAAATTTGTCATTAAACCATTTGGTTCCAGTTCAGAATCTGACTCAAAATCTGAGTTGAAGAAACAGTCGCGAAGTGTCGTTAACGATGCTAATGATGATATTAAAAGTGCTAGACCCAGAAATAAATCAGGAAAAAGGATGGTGATCGAAAGTGATGAAGATTCTAATAGTGCTCCATGTATAAACTTAACATCACATAGTGCTAAACATAATGACATGGTTGCTACTGACAACAGACAAGTTCGGACGGCTGCCGACATTTTGTTTGATTTTCTGAAATCTGACTCGTCATCAAACTCTGATGATGTTGCTGTGAAAGCAAATGAACTTGACCAAAAACCAAGTGATCTTGGCCTTAAATCGAATGACTCAGGGGTCATTTATATCAGTGAAGATTCAAATGAATCTAAGAAAGACAACTCCAATTTACAGCTAGTAGAATATACAAGATATCCAAGTATTATTCACGACTTAAATCTGTTGACTTCTTGCGGACCAAAAGGTTGTCCTATCATCCATGAAAACTCTAATAATTCTTGTGATGTCATGCCATTTATTGACCAATCAAATGATTGTTTGAGTGAGTTGCAGACGGCAGAATCAAGGGAAGTAACTGTGATAAAATCAGAAGATGTGAAATGTGAGATACAGGACGATATAATTGTGATTCCAGATGAAAGTCCACCAGGTATGTTTTATACACCCACATTTAATTTGGAAATTTTTCTTGTTCTGTCCATCTCTTATCGTGTTTATATTTAATAAACATAACTAAGAATAAAGAAATTTTTTGTCAAATATATTTTTGAGACCTGTAGGCTTTGCTTCTTACACAAAAAATTTTAACATTAATTGATTGTGTGGTGTATGACATTACATATTCACTTGTAAAAGTCAAGTTCAAGAAACTTGCCTGTACAAAATCTTCCTGTATATTTTTGTTTTGTTTTGTGAATATCATTATTTCTATAATTTTGTTGTATATTCCAGTGAAGACAGGAAAGATAAAGAAAGGAAAGAGAAGAAGTAAAGTGAAAAAAGACCTAGATTATATACCAGATATAACACCAGATATTACAAAATTACAGAGTTTACCTCCCCTTGTTAATTCAAGTAAACCCAAACGGTACGTAGGAATGACAAATGTTTCAAAAGAGACGAGGATCTTTGTGGGAGGGGCTGGTTTTGTTAACTCTGGTAAACTATTTTTAGGAACAAGGAAAGACCTACCCTACCCTATTATTACCATTCACTTATTATGGTGTCTGTGTTTTGTCAACTTGATGATTTTTTGGTCAGGATGTGGTGGTCATTTTTTTACGGTGACAGATTTTAGATTTACACAGTTCTAAGAAGAAGTGGGAATTTTAATTTGATATATTTGGCAAGTATACAGTAGTGAGAAAGAGCTTCTCCTGATCCCTGTTGACTCTGATAACTACCTAAAACCTATATAACATACTTACAATTGCTAAATGCTATTTAAAAACTTTACCTAAAACCTTATAGTTGAATTTTTTCTCTCCAGAAATAGAAAGCAACCAACACGATACGTTGAAGTTAATTCTGACGATTCAGATACAGAAATGAAACCACCAGCTAAACGAGGTAAGAAAGAAACAAAAAAACAACTATATTTTACAATGACAACATTACAAGGTTAAGGATCCATTCTACCAGCTTGTCCTTGACCAAATCTCTTGGCATTGATCTTTCCCAGATTATCCATACCAATTTACAGCTGGGTTGACTGGAATAATGAGTAAAGATGACTTATTGAAGGTCATCGGACTATCGCACGCCACGCCACGCCACGCCACAAGAATTGAACCCACAGCCGCCATTTGCTCGAAGTAACCAAGCCAATGCCTTCATGTAAAGAACCAACCCTCTAACCGACTGTGCTCTAGATCCTCATAGTTGTAATGTTACTTATTGTATTTCAGCACGACACATTTCTTTGCCAGTAAAACTGGAGAAGGGAGATACAAATCTAACAACCATTCCTGTTCAACCAATTTCAAAAATTACACCAATAGTTTCCACTGACAATTTATCTGTGACGTCTGAATCCAAAGTGCTTGGACATGATCCTTCTGTTACCCAAAGACTAGTTCCTTCTGTTACCCAAGGACATCATCCTTCGTCTGCCAAAGGACTAATTCCTCCAACTACTTCGTCTCCATCAAATTTAGAAAACTTGCCTCAATCATCTCAGCAGCTATCATCATCAAAATGTGCATCAAATAATAAAGGAAAAGGGAAAGGAAAGAAACAGAAGTTAAAAGAAGAATATGGGGCAGGAGCTCCAGCCCTACCCTCTCTACCTACTGATGATATAAATGATGATGATGATGATGTGTCAGATAGCAGTGATGTTTGTAAGTTATGTTAAGTTGTAAACAAGTTTGATAACCAATGCTATTTATATATCTACAGTATTTACCTTGTTTCATCTTTTCTAAGGTACATAAGAGTAGGATGTAAAACTCCATTCATTTCATTTTTCCTAAATACAAATAATAACCATTTATGATGTCACTGAAAATATGACTGAAAATGTATGTTAAAAATGTTCTGATACACATACAAAAGTTTAATAAAGATCGTTGTGGTCCCTGTTATCTTTGTTCACGTAGTTAAATTAATTTGTATTTTTGTAGCCAGTGGTGAAGATTGGTTACCAGATCTCGCCATGGAAATTCCTTTTAACTGTCATAAAGCTGGTAAATATATATATTAATTAATCTTAAATTGTGTACAGGATATACTCATCTTTTCATTAAGTTATAGAGGTTATTTTTGTAATTTGATAAAGATAGGCGACTAAAGTCTTGTCCAATCCACGTTCAATTACATGACAAAAACAATGAAATTATCTTCAAGAAATGTTAAACAGAGTTGATTGTTTATGTTTTAGTGATGGGTAGCTGTAATAGTACCACAGGGAGAACCAAATCAAACAAACCACGAACAACTCTTATAGTCTGTCCACTGTCTGTTATGAACAACTGGCTGGTAAGTTCAGGAAGTAAGGTAGTAATTACCACTTGATTCGTATTTGATACACACATCATTTTAGAACTCAGAACAGACACATGCTTCACAGTTTTGTTACATCTTAACTATTAAACTTGTGAAGTTATACCCTGAGAAAGGTAATCCAAAAACTAAACTCCACTGTCACATAAAAAAGCTCATATCAGATAGCATGCCTTCTCCTGTCAAGTATATTTGAGATATTGAGATATTATATATTTATTTATAGAGTCAATTAGAAGAACATGTAAGAGAAGATGTAGAATTAGAAATTTATACATACTACGGTAATGGTCGTACTACTGATAGTAAATTATTAGAGAGTCAAGATATTGTTATTTCTACTTATGGTACTATATCTGCTGATTTTAAGGTTAGTAGCAATTTAATATGTCTTCTATATATTATTTGGGGCACTGAGTGAATCGGAACAATTGTTTTTAAAGCTGACAGATTCAGGTTTGATTCTTTTCAAGATTTCTTCAATATAAAATGGGAGAGATTAATGTTAAGATTTTTGTTTTGATTCCATTGTAATTATTTTCAGCTATTTTTCATGGCTCGTGTTAACAATAGGAGTCAAAATACTAGCAAAACATACTCATCCTTCTATGGTATAATTTTAGATCATCTTTTCTATTTTAGGGTAGAAATCCATTACGTAAAGTTCACTGGTTAAGAATAATTCTCGATGAAGGACATTATATCAGAAATTCCCACACGTTGATGGCCAAGGCTATAACAGATTTGAAAGCTGACAGAAAATGGGTTTTGACAGGTCAGTGCTGGGCAATTTTAACCAATCAAAATGATTGTTTCGTCTGAACTCATATACTATTCGTGAGTTTTGTATGTATTTTCATAGTAACAAAACCAGGCCTAAAAATTCACACGAGTTTTATTAGAATCGTGCAAAATCATTTCGATTTGTCCATAGATACAGTGTATGTTTTGTGTCTGAAAACCTTGAAATCTTCTCTAAAAATGATCAAAGACAAAGGTTCTTCTTAATTTCGACAAATTTTTAGGCCTGATTATTCATTGTAAGTAGAAGGGTGTTGAATGGCCGGTTTGTAAAGAAAATAAACTATGATACTGGCAAACTTTGAATTGAAAACGAGAGCTTCTGCTTCTGAAAAACCTTGACTTAAACCATTTTCAGAGATTTAAAATAACAGTTATCTCCCTTACTTTTCAGGAACACCTATTCAGAATTCCATCAAAGATTTATATTCACTGGTTAATTTCCTGAATATCAGTCCCCTGACGGAATCATCATGGTGGAAACGAACTATTGAACGTCCTATAGCTCAGGGACATGAGTCAGCTATCAAGTAAGTTAAAAGACTCTAAATGTTAAGGAAAATGGGTTTATCAGAGTTTTTGGCATTATTTTCACTTTCAAAGTCAGATCTTTATTTGCTCTGAAAACAGAATGCCATATTTTGAATTAGTAAGAGATGTGTGAACTTTGATGTGAACAGTTTATTGGCAATATGAACAAGGCAGTGTCTAGACAGAGGAGGAATCTTCCCAAGCAAATGAATTCTCAATTTCTTATTAACTTTTTTCACCAGCTTATAACAAATTTAAATTTCTATGTGTTGATTTTCAGACGTGTTCGAGCGTTGGTGGCGAATATTGGACTGAGACGAACGAAGAATCAACAAGTTAACGGTAAACCATTGGTTGAACTACCAGCTAGAAATGTATTTATAGAAACAATCAAATTCTCGGATGAAGAACGACAAGTTTATAATGATATGCAGACTGAGGGAAAACTTATTATTAGCAGGTAAAATTTTCAAATAAAATTAAATCAATACAGAACTTTTGCCTCTTATAACTTACAGCCTTTTGCTTTGGGTGTGGGGGTCACATGTTCCATCATGCTTTCTATGAGTCAGTAGTCAGATTAGGAACTGACTGACCAATAACGTCCCTAGTCTGTTAGAAATCGGATAAGAATATACAAGTGCCAATGTCTTAACAACTTTTACAATATTTTCACTCAATTGTCTTCATGAATTAATTCAGATGCAGAACAACACAAACTTATTCATTCATTTATTTATATTTCAGATATTTTCAACAGGGGACATTACTCCATCATTACAGCCAAGTTTTAGTTATTTTATTACGACTTCGTCAACTCTGTTGTCATCCATTATTATGTTCTAAAGCTGCGTTAGGTGTTCGACAGGCTATGGGTAGGTCCAGTTATACAATTCTAGATTTTTTGATAGCAGACTGATTTCTGTGAATTTTTCATTGCTAAGAAATTTGGCCAAGGATCTGGGGGTAGCTCGATTGGTGAGGTCTGCACGTTAGGGATTCATAGAATCAACCAGACGTTCATTAAAAGTTGGAATAGAGTTCAGAACGCCTTTCACGTGTATCGCAAAAATAGATAGAATTCAAAATTACAGAGATGGAAAAAATTTAATGTAACGTATCCCACTTCCATACCGTTTGATTGAGGGCAGAATTAGAAATAGCCAATCAAGCGCTACCCAGCTTGTAGACAGGATCCTCGTGAAACTAAATTGTTAGCGTATGTCTATTTGTTTATTATTTCATTAGTCCAAATGGAAGAAAAAGAAGTGCGTTAAACTCTATTTTATTCTAATATTTCAGAATTATTAGGAATGAATATAGATGGAGGTAATCAACAACAAGATGGAGGTAATAACGTATTAGATGATGAAATGAAGAAGAAATTAATCTCTGCTCTGTTAGCGGTGTTAAATTCTGGTTCTGATGAGGAGTGTCCGATTTGTTTAGACAGTCTAAAACACCCTGTTATAACGCCCTGTGCTCATGTTTATTGTCGTACCTGTATTGAAAACGTCATACAACAAAATAACACGGTCAGTATATTTATTACACCTTTACTCCCTGAAAATATTACAGCTTTATACCTAGAAATATTATGGCTTAAGACCTGAGAACTGGGTTTTTTGTTTTGTAATCTGCTTGTCTTGACAATTGGAAGTACATGAAAATAGAGTTTTCCAAGTTTTTACGATAAATCTTTTGTTATTTTCAGATGATGGCACCATGTCCGATGTGTCGAGGAGAAATAAAAGTAGACAAGTTGATAGAAATTCCTGAAAATCAACTGCAGGAACCAGAGACACCCGTAGTTACTGATGAAAACTGGCAATCCAGTAGCAAGGTAGGAATTTGGAGAAGTTTTTGAGTTATTGCGCTTGATTTAGTATTTCCACGGACTAATTTGTCTTCATTACTAGAGCCATAAAGATGATGGAAGTGGACTTTCTGTCTCTCTCTGCGGTTGAACTTTGTTTTACCATGTGTTTTTTTTCCTGGTGCTCTGCTGTAAGAATGGCTAACGGCTGAATAGCTCTAAGGGTATGCTACCTTGCTGTATGTAATTTTGTATAATTAATTAAATGTAGGTTGACGCGTTAATGAAAGCTGTAGTTCAACAACGTATTGATGACCCTACTGTTAAAAGTATCATAGTTTCACAGTTTACATCTCTACTGACTCTTATTGAGGTACCATTGAGGTAAGTACAGTCTTCTATATTTCTTGACTATTATCATTAATATAGTTATTAAAGGAATCAATGTTGATCTTGCCGTTATATTTACAGTTATCTACAGTTTATTTATTTTTAGATTAAACTTAAAAACAACCTATTAAAAATTATCTTACAGATTAAATGGTTTTAAGTTTGCTCGACTAGATGGTAAAATGACTAACAAGAAGAGAGTTGATAATATAGAGATGTTTATGGACCCATCACCCGACTCTCCTACCATATTTCTACTGTCACTGAAGGCTGGAGGAGTTGGACTTAATCTTACGGCAGCCAGTCGCGTCTTTCTTATGGATCCTGTAAGTATATCAGGGCTGCTTGGTTTGGTTTGTTAGTGTTATATTTTTGAGTAAATAGTTTCATAATGCACTGAAAGTGACAACAGTCTAAATTGGTAGAGTATGTTTTTGTTGAATTGTAAGAGAACTAGATGTAAGTTGTAAGAAGTCTAGACAGTGATACTGATAGCTATTGGCTATAATTTTATAGAATTCAGCTCTATGAGTTAAATATTTCGTTGACTATTATTTTAAATATATATGTTATAGGCGTGGAATCCAGCAGCAGAAGAACAGTGTTTTGATCGCTGTCATAGATTAGGACAAAAACGTGATGTTAACATTACAAAGGTTAGTTTTTAAAAACTCCCTCTTATTAAATGACAAAATTTCTTCTACAAACATAAGATGATTAAGATTTAAGACGTATCCCTGCAGAAAAGTAGGACGTAAAACTCCGTTCATTTCATTTAAGAAGTGTCCCCTCAAAAAATCAAGTGTTTCCTTCACTAAAGTAAAATAACTAAGCTAGCCATGATAAACAGTTAAAAATAACAACATTATCGAAACTTGATAAAATACAAATAGAATGTAGTATACAGTTTGCTCCATTTGAAGGATTATTAATCAGCTTTGGATTTCATTTGAAGATAGTAATATTAACAAAAGTTTTATATTCCTATTTTAGTTCCTGGTAGAAGACTCAGTAGAAGAAAGAATGTTGGCACTACAGGAGAAAAAACGAGCCTTGATGACTGGAGCATTCAGTAAAAAACAATCAGCTGATGAACGTCGAGCAGACAGAATTAATGAAATTAAAACATTGTTAGAATTGTAGAAAATATTCTCAAAATATTGCGGACATTATTTCTTTGTTTTATTCACTGCTAAAACAAGATACAATCGGTTCGGATGATTTACAAGATTTTAAATTTTAACAAGTCAATCTGAAATTTGTTTTATGTTTTTATTAGTAGTTATAATATTAGTTTTTTTAGTTACAGTTACCTCCCTTTAACTATAAGTATATTATTAACCAAACTATGTACAAAATCTGTACACTAGTAAAATAAAGTCTCTTGGCTCGGTTGATTAATTAAAATTACTCTCATCAGACAGAGAAAAAACAATATATTTAACAAGATATGTTTAAACTAAGAGAGATTCTGGAACAGGATATGAAAAGATAAGGTGTGGTGAAAGTGGGAGAGAGAATATTTGGGTGAAGCTCTGTATTATATTATTCTGTAGGTTGGTGTTATGGAGAGAGGAGGGTGGATGATTGTTTATTTGGGTGTAGCTCTCTATTATTCTGTAGGATGGTGTTATGGAGAGAGGGAGGGACGATTGTTTATTTGGGTGTAGCTCTGTATTATTCTGTAGGATGGTGTTATGGAGAGAGGGAGGGACGATTGTTTATTTGGGTGTAGCTCTGTATTATTCTGTAGGTTGGTGATGTGGAGAGAGGGAGGGACGATTGTTTATTTGGGTGTAGCTCTGTATTATTCTGTAGGATGGTGTTTTGGAGAGAGAGAAGGGGGGGGGGGGTGGATGATTGTTTATTTGGGTGGAGCTCTGTATACTATTGTAGGGTTATTGTTTGTTATAATTGTTTATTTTAATTTGAATCTAACCAAATAATCAAACATCATCATCAATTAAAACCAAAGTTATCATACATCATTCAATTACTATATTTCTATAAATTAATCATTTTCTTAGTGTTTTATAAAAAATTAAAATAAAACCTGTAAAAACAGAATCATAATAAATGATTTCAGAATTCAAAATATTGTCTTTTATTTGTGTTTATTCTTCAACTGTCTGTCAATCTGTCTGTCCTAGTTTTAAGAATTTATATGTCAGCCAGCCCCTACCCTTCTCCTCTTCCAGTTGTCCATCACTCAGTCTGTTCTTGTAAGACTATTCAGCAGCAACCAAGGGAATATTTCATTTGAAATTAAATAAGACTCCCTTGTAATAATGGGATAACTTCAGTGAACAATAAATGGTCCTCACATTAATTAAAATATTTCTAATAAATTGTCAAAAATTACAACCCATCAGTTTCTAAAATAAAAAATATTTTAAGTTTAAACTTCCATTTCTCTCCCAGTGTTTTAATTTCAAACCACAGAAAAGAAAATGTGTTAAAAAAAAAGACAAAGAAAATAATTCCGAATATTGCAGCTGTGAAAATAGAGATATTTGTTTTAATTCTTTTATTTTTTACAAAAAAAATAGTCTGAATACATTCAAATTTGCCGGTTGAAGTTAAACAATAGAAAACCTAAACCAGTTTACTGACAGGTGCGTGTTAAACCGGTTTCAGTTTCCTGACGTCAAATACCGGAAGTTAACTCGCACTCGATTAACAAGTCTCATCCCACCATTGACGTTCAATACAAACTGTGCTCTTTATTCGAGACTACCATCTCCACTCCTGATAGAATCCAGTCATAATGAAGCAATGGAGATGATATTCTGTTCGCTTTCTCTCTTAGTTTTGGCTTCTGGATTAGACGTTAACGCTAAACAGATTCTAGAAGGTAAAGTTCAGCTTTCATTCTTTCCAAACCCGGAGAAAATTTGAAATGAACGTCCGAATTCAGAGTTTTACCATCCTTTGCTTGCATCGATTCCAACAGATTCCTGATTTTATTTCAGACAGTCCCAGAGCCAGACTTTTTGATGCCACCCTCCTGTCGGCTCCTATTATAGATTTCATTGTTATACAAATCTTTGTGAGTTTTGGAGCTTTTCACATCCTTCATTGCTTGAAAACTTTGACTATATTAGAAGAGTGATTGAAATTTTAAAATGTTTATTGTTATTATTGACAATTAATGACAGTGTGACTTGACTAGCACACATACACACACAAGAACAAGCTAGCCTATTGTACTAGGCCAAATTATAAAGCCTATTGCCAGTAGCTTAGGTTAGGTGAGGTTGGATGAGGGGTACTTTTGAAACTGTTGAATGATATTTGTGTCTAGCAACAGAAGAAGATTGTCTAATCACAGATTATCAGTTTGATAACAAGGCTATAATAGGAGGATTGGTCAAACATAAAACATATCGACAGTCAGTTTTTACTTTGTTAACTATACAAGAAAGGTTTTGAGTAATAAAACTGAGAGACTTGTCTTCATTATATCTAGGATATCCTGCTTGTCTATTGCTATGTTAATAGAAGTAGGGTCAATTCTTAAGATAACTTTAAAGCATTTTTCTATCAAGTTTGAACCTAATTTCAGAGCCCACTTACAGTAAAATATTGAGGTGTCAAGTCTCGTAGACAAATACAAAGTATATCAAAATTGAAACTCACATATCTTACTAATTGTAGCAAATTGTCGCAAAATCTGATAAAGTATCCATAGGACATGTCATATCTTATGAGTACTAACACCAACTGTATCAAATAACTATCAGAGATCAGTCAGATCACATCTTAAGGTCTATTAGAATTTAGGAATTTCAGCTTGTATTTCAACTATTTTTGATTAGTTTTATGACATGACCAACTGTATCGATTAACTATCAGAGAGATGTCATACTAGAAGCCAAGAATTTCAGCTTGCACTTGTGTTTCAAAACAAAATTCTTTTGCTCTTTGAATATTTGTTAATTTTTTCATAAAAGAGAACTTTGACCATTGATACCTCTAGTCAATATTGAAGTAGATGTCACTTTGTACTGTAATGTTTGATGTACTAAGATCAGGAAATTACTCGTTGACTTTCTGAGTAGAGGTCTTGTCGTTAAGTTCATTCATTATTTTAGCTTTCCTAGTGACATTCTCTAATTGATTTAATTAGCAACAATCTGTCTCTTAATTTGCTTTACACTGATTGTACACAGTAAGGCATTGTCAGTCTTCAATTGTCAAATAGCATATATACATATACATTGAAAAAGACTGCACATTAAAGATTCTGCTGTTCTAGCAGCAAAATTCACCTTATTGGACACTGCTTGGTGTTGCCTTCTTCCATTATCCCTAAATAAACCAATCTTACTTTTAGCTGCAATCTAATTGACTTGAGCTCATCTTTTACTACAGACACATTTCTTGGGATGTCAAGTCCTCATCTGGTGTTTCAGTGAATATATTTTGACTGACATTTTGACTCTAAATTATAAATATTTGGATCAAACAAAAAAATATATTAATTTCAAGTTATTTTGACTTAGTGGATTTCAACCTTCATTACAAGCTATTTTCAGCTATGGTTGGTTGGTTGGTTGGTAGATGACAAGTTAACCTTCGCTTCCGCAAACTAGGTAGTTGTTAGTAGTTGTAGTAGTTGGTAGTTGGATTGGTTTAAATTGGATGATTCTGTGTTGTTGGTTTGTTTGTTGATTCAGCTTGTTTTCATGTCCTAGGTATAAACTGGAACTGGATGTTGGTTTAGTTCTGACTGAGCTATCCCTACTCAGTATTGTCTAGTGTCATATCAATATTGTATAATAAATACAGACAGAGGGTTAACAAGTTAATTACAATATCTATTATACTCTAATTATTTAATTAATCAACCAATCTTATGAATATTCATGTCTTATTAATTCAATCTTTATTATTAACTTGTCCTGATCTTTATTATTACTCCAGTCTTCATACTGTAGAATATTTCTACATAATGTTAACCCTGTCTGTATTCTTTACGGTATAGAATATTGATATAGTGATATTATCAACAACTCGGCATTAATCATAACACTGGACCCCTTTCACAAAACATTATTTAATCCCCTCTACCATCTTCATTAGTCATAACACTGGGCCCTTTGACAAAACATTATTTAATCCCCTATACCATCCTCATTAGTCATAACACTGGGCCCCTTTCACAAAACATTATTTAACCCCCTCTACCACCCTCATTAGTCATAACACTGGGCCCCTTTCACAAAACATTATTTAATCCCCTCTACCATCCTCATTAGTCATAACACTGGGCCCTTTCACAAAACATTATTTAATCCCCTCTACCATCTTCATTAGTCATAACACTGGGCCCTTTCACAAAACATTATTTAATCCCCTCTACCATCCTCATTAGTCATAACACTGGGCCCCTTTCACAAAACATTATTTAATCCCCTCTACCATCCTCATTAGTCATAACACTGGGACCCTTTCACAAAACATTATTTAATCCCCTCTACCATCCTCATTAGTCATAACACTGGGCCCTTTCACAAAACATTATTTAATCCCCTCTACCATCCCCATTAGTCATAACACTGGGACCCTTTCACAAAACATTATTTAATCCCCTCTACCATCCCCATTAGTCATAACACTGGGACCCTTTCACAAAACATTATTTAATCCCCTCTACCATCTTCATTAGTCATAACACTGGGCCCTTTCACAAAACATTATTTAATCCCCTCTACCATCCCCATTAGTCATAACACTGGGACCCTTTCACAAAACATTATTTAATCCCCTCTACCATCTTCATTAGTCATAACACTGGGCCCTTTCACAAAACATTATTTAATCCCCTCTATCATCCTCATTAGTCATAACACTGGGACCCTTTCACAAAACATTATTTAATCCCCTCTACCATCCTCATTAGTCTAAATATGTGCTAACAAGTAGAAATAAAACTCATTTCATTTGATTCCCATTCCGAATTATTGAACAATTAATTTGAGTTCTTACCATTCAAAACGATTAGTTTAATTGGCAAATGAAATTCATATCAACTATATATCAGATCAATGTACCACCTCATGAATATTCATAACTTGTAATGAATGATATATTAAAACAAAATCAATATACAGGGTAATATTTTAGAGAAACCTATATTTGAAATATCAGCTAATAACAAAACTCTTGACCAACTGTCCTGAGACGCTGAATGATGAGGCTGAATTAAAACTAAAAGCTAATAAAAAAAGTTTAGTCTCATTTTAATTAGACCGAAACTCTGAGTAACAACATGTTTCAGGTTCTCTCTATTTTTTTTTTATATATTGAAATATCAGCTGATATAGGAATGTTTTACCAGTGAATCATTTAGTATCAATGACAAGATGTTTTGATTTTTATAAATATTTACAGATTAGAATAAAAGTTTCTCTCATGTCCTGCTGGGATTACTTTTAGTCAAACAAAAAGAGTAAAATTATGAATATTTCTGTTTCAATATTATTTTAAAAGATTGATATCATGCTTTTTGGAAATTTAACCATTTATAGCCCAGTCCTGAACAAAGTGAGATTAAACAGTTGGTGAAATCAAAACAAACTATATCATATTCTGATAACCCAACTTGTGTTTTAGATAATTTTATCTGAATATTATCATTATTATAATGGTTATTAAATTCTAGAATGATTTGTCATAGAAACAACTTTAGAGTCATATTGACGATTATCAAGTTTTAAATTGTATTTTAATGAGTCATTTCACAAAACAAAACAAAATATAATTCTTCTATTTGTTACCTCCAGGACTGTAAATTTTAGATATGGTCTATCTGTAAAAGTCTGAAGGGATGAGATTACTTTAAATTCTCAACACAATTTCAGTCTTTCTGGAATCTTAAAACATCAGAATAACAGATTACATCACATATGCATTGGCCGTGGATTTAAGAAATGATTAATGGTTATATTTTATGTTTACCTAATTGATGTACATTTTAAGACTGGATATCATTGAACTTTGTTAGTTTTTTTATTGTGATGATATGGTAAAAATAAAATATGTTATTAGAAAGAGAAAATACCAGATAATTTGACCTTCCATTGATTATTGAAGAGATTGGTATCAGAAAGTGGCTATGGTTTCATTTGATTTTCTCTGTTAGTTGGTTATTTGGACTGAAATATTTTATTTTGAATAGATATATATATGAAAGTTGTGATGAATGATTATTAGGTTCTAAATAATAAAAAAAAATATAAGGAACAAGATTTGTTGATAGCAAAAGATAATTTAACCTTGAAAGAGATTGGTGTCAGAAAATGACTGGTTTCATTTGATTTTACCCGTTTTTTTTAACTTTGACTTAGTATTTTGGATGTGATACCTTATTAAGAATAAAGAAAGAAGATTTATTAGAAAAAGAGAAAATAAGAGATAATTTGGCCTTCTATTGATTATTGAAAGAAAAAAACAGTAACTATATGATTATCAATATCTCACCACTAATTAGTCGTCCACACAGTGTCAGGTTACTTCCCTTTAATTATTAATAGTCTAACAGGTGGTTTCTCTCTTTCTCTTCTTTAAAAACATGTTTATATTTCCCACTCAAAACAACAAAAACCATTTAGGATATTTTACACTAATACTGTTTACTAGGTGGGTTGGATGTAACATCTAAACATCTTTTTATTATTGCTTCTAAACATCAGTTTCATTAGGTATTTTACTGTACACTATTTTTATTGTTTTCTTGTAGGGTTAAAAACATGTTTACAATGGTCAGATAGAAACAACAGAAATAAACATCAGTTTCATTAGGTATTTTTGTAGGGTTAAAAACATGTTTACAATTGTCAGATAGAAACAACAGAAATAAACATCAGTTTCATTAGGTATTTTTGTAGGGTTAAAAACATGTTTACAATGGTCAGATAGAAACAACAGAAATAAACATCAGTTTCATTAGGTATTTTTGTAGGGTTAAAAACATGTTTACAATGGTCAGATAGAAACAACAGAAATAAACATCAGTTTCATTAGGTATTTTTGTAGGGTTAAAAACATGTTTACAATTGTCAGATAGAAACAACAGAAATAAACATCAGTTTCATTAGGTATTTTTGTAGGGTTAAAAACATGTTTACAATGGTCAGATAGAAACAACAGAAATAAACATCAGTTTCATTAGGTATTTTTGTAGGGTTAAAAACATGTTTACAATTGTCAGATAGAAACAACAGAAATAAACATCAGTTTCATTAGGTATTTTTGTAGGGTTAAAAACATGTTTACAATGGTCAGATAGAAACAACAGAAATAAACATCAGTTTCATCTTTGATGTTATTCTTGTTTTTTTTGTTTGGCAAAAAGTCTTGTCAGTCATATTACACTATAGACTTAAGCCCTGTATGCTACAGGTGGTGCATGTTAAAGATTCCTGGACAGTTAAAAATAAAAAAAGATTAGACCAATGCTTCTCTCCGCTCTCTTCAGCAAATGTCCCTCATTGCATACTACATGGTTTAGGCTGTCTTCATTAGCCCAACAGTCAGAGAAAAGTGAAAACATGTTTTAGCTTTAGACTAAGATGTAATGTTGGCTGTTGTAATCATTTGTTTATATTTTCAGAAAAAAGATTGCTATACGAGAAGATTGATAGTTTCCCTGGAAGTAAATCATTTAAAACCTACGAGAGTATTTCCCCCTTGTTATTTTATAATAAACATCAAATAACGTTTACTTTACAACAGGTACGTCTTCCTATTCTTCTTTAACAGGTGAAACAGAGGCACTGACATCAAAATAGTTTCTTGTAGTTCTGATTGGAACAATAATAGATAATACTTGTGCCAATAATTCCCTTATTGTACACTGCATGGTGCTGCCAATCTCTATTGGTATATGACTGTTATTAAGATAGGTTATTTTATTTGATGTTTCAGGGTAAACATATAGAAAATGTGACAGTTTATTTCAAAGCTTTTGGTAGAAGTTTTATTTTAGATTTACAACAAAATAAGTAAGTACCTGTAAAATTATATTCTGTGCTAATTCTACTATAGTTTCATTTCATTGAATTGACTTGATGAACACAACTCTCTAATGAATGTTGTCAGATCAAACAATTGAGTGAATGAGTCAGGCAGCACACAGAATTAGTCAAACATTGTTTCACTTTGTAAAACCTTGTTGTCTATTATTTCCAGAGATTTGTTTTCCAAGTCGTATGTAGAAAAACGTCATCATTCTACTGGTGTTCATCAACATAAACCTAAGGTAGGTTTGATTTGTTAATCCAAATCTCACAGAGTTCCTGAGAGGTTCAGGTGTAACAAGTATGAATGAAGGTACCCAAACTGTTGAATTTAAATCAAAGTGTTTCAGAAGAGATTTCTTTATGAAAGAATATTGATTTATTAAGCTGTTGTATGAAGCTAAGTTACAGGTTACATTCATAGTCTATGGGAAATTTGAACCTGCCTAAATTTTGATCTTATTTTATTTCAGATCTCCAATCATTGTTATTATCATGGTACTATACGAGGCTCTGTTGATAGTCTGGTTGCCATGTCAACCTGTCAGGGAGTATATACAGGACTGGTATCAGACAGTATTAATACATATCATATAGAAAACCAGCATGGAATTCATCGTATTTATAGAGATCTAGATCAACGTACTGATGCCTTTAAATGTGGTATGTTTCTGTTAATTTTAATGATAGGGATTCATTTGTAATCTATTTATGGCAGGATTCAGATGAAAACTGGGCTTCAAAGATTATTATTTAGGGGCCAAATAACTGTTAAACAGGCCCAGAAAATATAAATAATTATAGCCTGAAACCCTGAGATTTCCAGTCCTTGTATTTTAAAAATTTCTTGTACAATAAGCTTGATTACTTTGATCAATATACAGTGTTTATAGTATCTTAATATCTAACCACAAACCAGTTGTTTACATCTTATAACGAACTCCAGACAGAGGAGATATAGATTCCTGCATGTCTCTATGTTATTTAAATATTCTGATAGGGTTTATTTTGTTTTTTCTCTAGGAAATGATCATGGTCATCCCCACACAAGATTTTATCATCAGGGACATCAACAACATTCCCAGGTTAGTATAAAAACTAAAACTAACAGACAGTAGAGTGGTAGGGGGAACAGACAGTAGAGTGGTAGGGGGAACAGACAGTAGAGTGGTTGGGGGAACAGACAGTAGATTGGTAGGGGGAACAGACAGTAGAGTGGTAGGGGGTTGGTGTCTGTTTAAAAGCCCTGGGTATAAAAACTAAAACTAAGATACTGTAGAGTGGTAGGGGGAAGACTGGGAGAGAAAAGGCTATTAGTTTGCTGGGTTTTTATTTTTATATATGAATATTATAACAGAGAATATGGTGTTAGTACCAAGTTGACTACCAGTATCTGTGGATGATCAGAGAGAGATATTAGCTGGGCTATGTATATTATATAAGAATTTTGTGGAATATAATTATAATAGTGTGATTATGTTTAATTCATTTTGGTAATTGTTTTATTTTTACCAATACCCATATTTATATTTTAGAGAAGAAAAAGAAGTGTACCAGAAGTTCCAATCCGGGGACCGTATGATGGCAATGAAAATACTAGATTTGTAGAATTATATTTAGTTAATGATAGAAGCACAGTGAGTGTTAATATTCTTTCTCAAATCTATCTTGTTCCTTGTTGTCAGTCTCTAGTCAGAAAGATTGATCTATAAAATGACAATTTCTCTCTTTAACAATGTCAGTTAATATTAATCCTGTCAAATATTCTGTAATTGACTGAGAGTTCTGAATTCTGACTATTATCTATATTCAGGCTATTAATCACTATAATATGGGAGATAACTCTTTAATAACTTAATATCTCTAGACCACATTATAACAATATTACAGAAGAAAGAAAGTTTTGGCTGATTAGAGTGATTTCTTTAAGTGGAATTTTTATCAAGAATGTCATGTTTTATAATATAATTCAATAAAATGATAATTGTTTGTAGACTCTGAACCATAATAGTAGTGAAGTTATAAAAAAATCACAAGATATAGTTAATATTGTTAGTCGGGTAAGTTCAATTCTATATTTCTACTTTAAAAACAAACATTAATTATGATTTGTAGATTACAGGCAACCCTCGCAAAGATTAATTGTTTGGTGGAAATTCATCGTCTCATATGAAGCTATTTGGATAAAGTGAGTCTTGGTCTCATCTTATGACATTTAAGCATGATTTGCATATAGCAAAAAGTTTTTATTGAAATATGAAAAAAATTCTATTTTTAAGTTGTATCGTCCACTGAATATTTACGTAGCTCTAGTTGGGGTGGAGATCTGGGAATCTAGAGATAAAATAGTTATAACTAAAAGTCCTGATGTCACCCTAGAAAACTTCTTACGTTATCGTCGAGAAAGAATCAATCCATTCCATATTAATGATAACGCACAACTTATTACGTAAGTATTACTAGATTATTTTAATAAATAAATACCACAGTAATATTGCGACAGACAGACATTATTCATCATCATATCTTTCAGAGAGTCCACATAAATTATTAAGTCATTAATTGGTATTTGATTTAATCAACCCTTAATGAGAGTTCTCACAACTAACTGTCTGTTTTTATTCGGATAGTGTAAATATTATGACAGTTCCTGTATTAATGTTATTTGTATTATATATATATCTATTAATTATAGTGGTACTAAATTTGATGAAGGGGTGGTAGGTAAAGCTATCAAAGGAAGAATTTGTACCTTTCAATATTCAGGGGGAGTTAACTATGTAAGTATACATTGTCTTACATTGTTTTTATCATTTTATCTGAATTTATTAATATACACAATAGAGATGAGAGATGATATACCCTTATCAGTAATAACTTATAATTAACAGATCTGTTGTCAGACATGACTGGTTAATAAATGTTAATTAACATCCCTGTATCAATGATATTGTTATATTTAATAGGATTATGATGGATTAACTACTCTAGCTACAACTGTAGCTCATGAACTGGGTCATAGTTTTGGTATGGAACATGATAATGATTCTGTGTGTCGATGTTCAGAGAGTAAATGTATTATGGCTGCTACAAGTGGGTAGGTTATTTTATAAATATTATTACAACTCTTAACTTATTAATAATGAAATAACCATTCACTGTTTTTGTTTTGTATAAACGAAGGGTTTAGTAAAATTATTTTACAGTAACGTGACTGATTTTGAGTGATGTAATTTGTAAATTTAAAGATTTAAGTTATCATCTGTTAACAGGTTTATTGTTTATATGAGAGGTTTTAGGCTGATAGAACAGATTATATTGTGTTAAGATTAATACAGTCATGAAAGTTGTATAAGATAAGACAGGATACAGTGTATGAGATTTTAATACAAGTTTAGTTTATTTTATAAATTATATTATATTACAGAATGACAAGTCCTACTAAATGGTCATCATGTTCTATCAGTGCTCTACGTGAATCGTTTGAAATTGGTATGGATTATTGTCTACGTAATAAACCAGAGTATATCTATAAAGGACCAGTCTGTGGAAATGGTTTAGTAGAGGAAGGAGAAACTTGTGATTGTGGACTTCCTCAGGTAAAGTTTTTGGCTGTTTTTTTGCAGTTGTTACTCAGTTGTATTTAAGAGAATTTAGCTGTTAGTTATAGTTATTCTACTATAAGGTTATTAATCACCATCTTTTGTTGTGAAATTTTAGCTGTTAATTTAAGGTGGTGTACTATATCTATCAATCTGTTTATATTATTTTAGGATTGTACTAATAGATGTTGTAATTCTACCACCTGTCAGTTAATACCCCAGGCTCAATGTGGAACAGGAAGATGTTGTAATCTCGAGACTTGTAAGGTAAGAACTGAAATTATTTTAAAATATAACATAAAGTGATTATAATTTTACAAATATTTGAAGAAAAATGGTTGACCTGGAAATACTGATAAAGTAGAGGAAAGGAAAGATTTATTTATTCGGAATATACTGATTTAATATTTCAAATAAACTATCTGCTGATGAAATGTTGAATTTTAAGAAAGGACTGATAACGAAAGACAATCCAATGTCTGTAAACAATGAGACTGATAATAACAAGTTTAATATCAATAAACATTTAGAAAACAAAGAAAAGAGAAGGGTGTTTTGGGTATCCAGCCCAAATAGAAGAAAACTAGAACACAAGACCTATTTCATTTCAATCTAAGATATATTATTATATTAATTTAATTCAGTATAGAGACTCTGCTGTATTGTGTCGAGCGCCAGTAGGAGAATGTGATCTACCTGAATTCTGTAATGGAACTATGGAATACTGTCCTGATGATGTTTATAAGAAAAATGGTTTGACTTGTGGAGAGAGCCAGGTTAGTTTGATAATAAAATATAATCTTATCTTATACTGTTTAAAATAGGGGTAAAGAATGCAATATTTTGTCTTTTGATTACAGCTCTTTTTTTACCCCTGTTTGATGTTTTCATTGTATCCATGTTCAAACAGATACACAGTCACTTTTCTTATCTCCACCAAATATAAAATTATTTCCCTGGAGTAAATTCACCTGTTGTATATTTTCAGTCGTATTGTTATCAAGGACAATGTAATACTCATAGTAAACAATGTAAACTACTGTGGGGAACTACTGGGCGTGCCTCTGATCCTATCTGTTATCAGAATCTCAATATGCAGGGAACACACGATGGTAACTGTGGCTATAACTGGACTAGAAGTTATTATACAAGATGTCATAAAGAGTAAGTTCTTTATTTCCTTTTAAATATTCAACCCAATAATACTTTATTGACAAGAGCTCATAGGATTCGGCTGGAAAGAAACAAGTAAGTTCTTTTAAATTGAATCAAGATTATTTCATGTTGTTTTGGATAGACAGTCCTCATCAGGATAGTTAGGCTAATTTATTTTTATTATTTACTGAAGAAGTCTAGAATAACTAATAATAATATGTTTTTTTTGTCACCCCCAGGGATGTAATGTGTGGGTTATTACACTGTGTTCATCTAAACGAGAAATTGATGTTCTGGAGAGATTCTCTAGCTCATACTATGAGAGCCTCCTTTCTAACAGTTGGTAATACTCAGTATGTCTGTCGATCGGCCATGTTGGATGTTGGAATCGATATGCCAGATCCTGGAATGGTTCCTGATGGGGCCAAATGTGAAGATGAGAAGGTAAGGAAAAAGTTCTCTAAGGTTACTGGTTCCCAACTTGTAGTAAAACTTTGAAAGATTTTAAAAAGCAGTGACTTTGGTTAAGGTAATGATCTCATAACTTTGTTTTTGGTGGGTGATGTGAGCAGGAACAAGGGGCTTCAAATTGTTGTAAGGAAGCAAAAAGGGTTAAAAGACTTTGACACACAGTCTTGAAACTTCACTCCTGACAGGAAATCTGCCATCATTTGGTCGACATTTTAAACCATCACATTCATCATCATCAAAAAACACTCCAATTTCTTCATCAGATTGAAACAGATCTCATCAATTCATTGAATAATTTTGTTATTAATTATAGATCTGTGTGAACCATAAATGTGTACCATTAGCTAAACTACCTATTACTGATTGTTCTACTAACTGTGCTAATCATGGTGTAAGTAGATAATCTTATATTGTTTATATTCTGCTTCCAGTCCTACTGACAGGTCGCAAGTCAATACTAGCCCCTATGTCTTATGTAGGCCCAAGTATTGAGTATGCCATGGCCAGTGCTTATGATGGTCAGCCCAGTGCAGATCTTTATTCCTATATAAACCAAGTACTAACAATCTGAACTGTAAAACAAAACCCGAAATCCAAAACAACATATTGGCAAAATATTGGTAAGAGCTAATGATATTTTCACAGTAGGACGTTATATATTATTTTGATGTTTTCTATCTAGGTATGTAACAGTCGAGGTAACTGTCACTGTGATATAGGGTACGCCCCTCCTCTCTGTGATAAACCAGGGTTTGGGGGTAGTGTTGACAGTGGACAGGCCAGTAATGAACAAGGTAGGTAGAATTATTTTAATCTTTTATCAATTGTTGTTTAGTCAACTCAGAAATAGTTTGGTGAAATTTTCTTAGATTGGCTGATTAAAGTTGTCTGAAGATCACAGAGCGTGAAACTCTGAATAATAATAATATTTCTATATCACTCTAATTGAGGTATTGAGCACTATCTTCATGTGAAACTCTGAGTAACAACATGTTTCAGGTTCTGTAATAAAATAATATTTCTATATCACTCTAATTGATGTATTGAACACTATCTTCATGTGAAACTCTGAGTAACAACATGTTTCAGGTTCTGTAATAATATAATATTTCTATATCACTCTAATTGATGTATTGAGCACTATCTTCATGTGAAACTCTGAGTAACAACATGTTTCAGGTTCTGTTTTAATATATCTAATCATATTTCTATTTTATTTCAGTAAATAAAGAATTACTAATTGGTCTGTTGGTATTTTTTCTAATATTGTTATTATGTGTTATAATATTCCTGGCCTTTTTCTATCGAAAACGTTTACAAAAAGTCTGGAAAAACATGCCTGATTATACCTGCAGGTACAGTAAAACATTTTATCTAAACATACTTTAAGTGATAGAAAAAGAGAGTAAGATATCTCATTGTTTTTCGAGGTTTATTGAATGGACATGACATGATTCAATAGCCTGGTTCTTGATATTGATTTGGTTTTTAAAATGTATAATTGAGGAAGAGTTGTAGAGCAGACAGCTAGAGTGTTGAAATCTTTATGACATCATTTGCTAGGTTATATCTTAACAAATGGTGGCTAATCTCAGCTGGCATATGACCGTCTTGTGATGTTAAATAAGTCATCTTCACTCATAATTCCAGCCGACCCATCTGTTAATGTGTAATGATAATCTGGGAATGATCAATCGGTTTTGCCAAGGACCAGCTGGTAGAAAGGACCCAAGTTGTTATCCTTTTCTTTCTGTCTGTCTTAACAATGTTAGAGTTGTCATAATTTCTTCACTATTTTTTGCAGAATTCCAATGAAACCAATATTTAACCGTAAAGAGAAACGCCCTTCGTCTATTCTGGTTGATGGTAAGCCAGTTCACACCCCGAGTAAACGATACGAACCTCCAGTGATATCATTAAAACAGGATTCACCCCCAGGTTATGATCCAAACGATTCTATTCTTGCTACGACCTCGAATCGTAAAACAAATATCGATATTAGCAACCCTAGTCAACAAAAACCTCTAGTCCCAAAACATGAACCGCGTTCGAAATCACCAGAAAAACTCAAAAAGAAAACATCTGAAAAAGAAATCAGTCAACCTAAAATTCACCAATTTGTGCCAGAAAACAAAATTTTCAAACCGGATCTTAAAATCAATAAAACTTCATCTACAAAATCTTCAACCAAATCAAAGTCAAAACAAGACATTCCTCTACCCCCCAAACCTGTCGTTTCACCCAAACCAGAGAAAAAACCCTTAACTCAGTCCAAATCAGAGCCAGAGTCGGTTCCCTTGTCACCCAAATCAGAACGTACCGGAATACAAAAACGAGAATCTTTCCGAGGAGCAGAAATATCACATCCAGTATTTGTCAGCACGACCAATCGTAATTCTAACATGTTTGATGATCTCCCAGACACGCTACCTAGAGGAACACATCTTTCTCACTCCCCCAGTGCTCGAGGCGTTCCCCCTGTACCTCCTCATGGTAAAGAAGTCACAGTTAAACGCAGCAAGTCAGACAGAAGTCAAGGTAGCAGAAGTCCTGTACGACCAGCAAATTTAGCAACACAAGACAAAGAAGATCTCTCACCACCAAAAACTTTGAGTAAATCAGTTTTAGATAGAATTATCTCCCCTCCTAAACCAGGATCGACCAATAGTATTCCACGATCTCGATCTCCGTCTGCTAATACATCATTCCGTTCGTTATCGCCACCCTCACGACCTTTACCCCCGGAACCTCGCGTCTCTATTCCTCCAAAACCTAAAGCGTTAGAATCGGGCAGACCCGACAGTACAGGGGTTTATATGAATAACCCAACTACGTTATTCGACAACGGTGACCTACTTGATGACATCACAAAATATTTAAATACTCAGAGCGATTTGAAGGAGGAGCAGCCGGCTAATTACACCAATATTCCTGAAGGAAGTAAAGCCTTCGAGGACAGCGAACCAACAAACTCTAAAAATAGCCCAGTAAATAAATACGCTCGTAATAAAAATACGTCGCTAGAATCACAACAGAGACCAAGTCTTAGAGACAAACCATCTTCAAATTTAAAACCAAAAACAGATTCAAAAACTACAAATATTTCCAAACCTAGTGTTACTAAAAATAAACCTCTAGTTCGGAATCAAAGTGCGTCACCAGCTAGAAGTACATTAGACAATAAAAATATTTCAAAACCAGGTGATAAAACACATGTGTCTCGAATAAACAGTGGGCCCAAACCTGCCACGCCTCCTAAAAAGGGAAATACAGGGGTAAAACCTGTAGACTCTAAAGTGGGAATTAAAACTTTGGCAGCAGAAACTTCAAAATCTGGGGCTAAACCTGCTGCAAGTGTTACACGGACAAAATCCCCAACCGGAGAAAAAACAGGGGTTACTCATTCTGCTTCTCAAGTGTCAGCTTTAACAGCTAAATTTAATCAAGATAAAATATTGGAAACATCAACCCCTAGTGATGTTAAAATAACAGGGAATATATCTAATAAACCAAAACCTCCTATTAAAAAAATACATAGTTTTAATGTTTGATGGGAGTTGACTCTAGAATATTTAAATTTTGATTTGGAAACCGCTAAGTGTGTTTTTAACTCTTTTTAAGTGAATTTTTAAGGATTACAACATTTACTTGTGAGTTTTAGCTAGTTTATGCTAGAATTTTTACAATTAGTTTCTGTATGTTTTTAAGAAGTTCATTTAAAGAAGAGATGTTGGTTTTTTTAAGATATTTTCTACAATTTTGACTATTTGAATATCTAATTTATAACAGTAATATAACTGGTTGAAATAATCTAATCTTATTGAAAGATATTCTCAAGTAAAAAACAATATTTTAAACCACTGTTTTATTTAGTTCAATTTGTTTATCAGTATTTTAATTTACTTTATTCTATTGATTTTTAAAATATTCTAGATTATGATAGTCTGCAAACCAGGCACTTTTTAAAACTGCAGAATTATTAAATAAACAAGAAATTCAAATTGTCTTCAATATACAAGTGATAGACACTAAACTCTGGTCATTTTTATTTTGATCATTTTTATTAAAATTGATATTAGTTTTGGGTAAAATTATATGATTTGCTTATTTTTAGTTTTGTGCAATATTTTAGTGTTTATATGAGTATTTTTTATTCTTTTTTCAACTGAATTTTTTAAAGATCTGATCTCTGTGTCTCAAATTTCACGATTTTGAAAATTTTACTGATATTTTGAGACGAAGGAGTCTAGTTTGCTATCTAGTCATGTGACACAATCTAGCTGACAGAGAAGTTTATTGAATCATTATTAACATCAGGCTCAAATTTAACAATTTCAGACTGGAAAGCTCAAAGCTTACTCTTATAAGATACGTTTAAGAAAATTGAACAAAAAATAAAGAGTAGGTCTGGTAGGTTCCTCTGTCGTGGCAAAATTCCCTCATTGCACACTGTTATTTATATTAGCCCAATCAGGTGCAGAAAAGTAGGACCTTGAACTCAATTTCATTTTATATTAAAAAGAAAAAAACGAGAATTCTCATTTTTACATCAAAATACTCATTTTATTTTATTTTATTTTATTTTATTTATGGTCCAGTTTTTAATTTTCTTCTTTAGTCATCTTAATAATCTCATTATCAAATATAATCAACCTTTCCTGACAAAATATATACATTGTCATTCATTGATTGTTCATTGTGCTCATATTTTGGCATAATTTTCCCTGACAAACCTTCCACTTCTGAAGCAATTTAAATATTAAATCTGAAATATATCTGGGAACGTTTTCCTTAACCAAGAAAGAGCAGGAGGTTTGAGAAAGGGTTTTAATAATCAATACAAGACAAAATACCTTCAAATATACACAAGACTCACTGTTAGATAACTTTTCTTGATTCCTAAAGTAAGATTTGAGTAGTATTGATCTGACTAAAAATGATATTTTATGAGCCAAAGTTGTAAATATTGTTAGTTGAGTTGATAAAATACCTCATGTCATGTGACATACTATTTATTACTATTATACCCAATATACTTTCATATTATAATCATAGCTTTTTACTTCACTTAAAGTTAGTGTTACCTGGACGCTGTTTCTCATAATATCCTAGATTAACGTACGAGCGTAAACATTATAAATTAACGATATGATAACGTAGAAATAACATTTTTCTACACTTAACTTGTAAGTTTAGTCTGCAAATTTTGAGAAACAGGTTCCTGGGGTCTTCTTCACGGAAAACTTAACTGAAATAAAATCCAGTCATCTGATTGGATAATAAAACTAAATTTAAAATCAATTTTTGTAATTGACCAATCAAATAACTTGAACAATAAAATCATTTTAAGTTAAGTTTTCCAGAATAAGGCCCTTAAAATATATAGTCAGATAGGACTACAGGCATAACCATAGGCATAGCTAGAAACATAGAGCAGGGTCTAGTACAAACCGTGCAAATTATGTTATCAATTTTGTCAAGGCATTATCAGAGGTCAAGTATGTTCTAAACTTGGGTGCTTTGTTTTGAATTTTGGTGAATCTTGATATTGAATTGCATTTTAATTTTGACAGACAACAAATAACACCCCTAATATTACAAATGAATTCTTCCAATCATCCATATACAGTTTCATATTGATAGAAAGTATGCATGTTTGGAAGAGTTCAATAGAATGTTGAGGGGTGTCAATCAGATGACTAACACACTATATAGCCCCCATTAATCTGTACATTTCACATCATTGATTTAAAAGGCCTCTATTTTCAGCTTGTTTCAAATTTTATACTTGTCAAAGCCATCTGCTTTGTGTCATAAAGTTGGTATCTTTTCAAGTTTGGACATGCTAAGCTTAGTTAAGATGTAAATATTATTTGTAATCTATTAATCATTCTATATTACTGTGCAATAAATAATATTCATGATATCATTCTTACTTCATTATTATTATTATTATTATTATTATTATTATTATTGTAGGTGACAAAACTAGTATCTATATTCTTGTACTTATGTTTTTTTTTTCTGACAAAATTTGTTGGGAAATTGTACTAGTACCATGTCATTGAAAATTTTCTTTTATATTATTGTTAAAATCCACTGGGGCGAGTCGAACTTCTGAAGTGAAATATGGTTAACACAGAGAACTCTCTCAATGATTGCAAGGTGACACACCCAATAGCAGACTGGTATGAGGTGAGTGAGTTCTAATGAAGCTGTTGTAACAAAAGATTAACCTCAAGTGAGATCTGATAAGTTGATACAAGGACCTGACAAAGAATGGATGGAGTTTTACGTCCAACTCTACTGAACCTAATTGGGCTAACGAAGATGAATGTTGTTCTGGTTGAGAGAGCTGATTAAGTTTGAAGATTGCAGAAGACAGTAAAAAAAACAAGAAAATTGAAGGTTTGAAAATGTTTATAAATTATAAACAAAAATAACAGAATTATATACAACAATCATAGAGAACCACGCCCACTTGGCTGGTCAAATATTCTATTACTCACAGGGTTAATTCTAAAACTCATTTTAAAACATGACTCCCTCCCTCACCAACCCTTCCCTCCCCCCCACGTCTTAGCATAATCTTATACTAGTTATAAAAGACCACGTCCCCATTCCCCTTAGTTTGAAATAATCTCAAAAATTGATAAACATGATCTTAAATCTCCACCACTGCCTGTAGTTTTAAATCACCTTCTAAATATCTTGGCATAATCTTTTACTAGTTATAAATCATCTCACCCCTACTCACCTTAGTTTTTCATTGCCCTCGGAATTATTGGACCATTGAATCATTTGTTGCGTTGACTACTAATTCATGCTTTTGTGCAGAATTTGTTTTTTTTATCATTTACAAATTTGTTAAGACATAATTAAACTAGTCAAAACCAAAATAATCAAAGTAAAATAATTCATAGAAAACTGAAACCTGTAGATTGAGATGCACGATAATTTTAGCGTTTTTTTTTTTTAAGATAATTTTTGTATTGTGGAAAGTGCGAAGGTAATTGACATTAAATACTAACAGTTGTTAAAACAAACAAATCACATGACTATATGACTTTCATACCAACTTTCTATCAGTGTTATTTCTTATAACATTATATAGATCACTGTTACTTCCATTATCCTCTATATACCGAGGCTTAAAAAACATCTCACCCTCACTCTCAACTTAATTTTCATTCCTCCAAACTGATATGGTAAAATCCTATTGAGATTATTGTGTATTTATTTTTAACACGCAATTAAAGCATCCATTATTGAGTTGACTAAAACGAAAATTTTGCGTCTTTAAATGTTTTGTGAAATTCACCCGTGTATGTAACACGTCACGTAAAAAAAATTCATGTACTATCAACACAAGCACTAAACAGTTTCACCCATACAAATATCACAGAATATTTCCATAAAATAAACAGAATATTTCATTTTTACGCTGCATCTTCTTCATACGATCGTTTTCGATGACAAGTCCTGTAAATATATTTAACATTTATTATAATATTATTACATTAACCCCACGATAATCAAAACATTTCTTTCAATCACTGAATGAAAATATAAAATTGATAAACATGGTTTGCAATCAAACGCGAAAAATTAAGAGCAAGATTTTTTTAATTTCAGTAGAGTTTGTTTATCTTTGAATGATAATAAACAATTTCACCAACTTTCTTCAATATAATATTACATGTAAAATTCCATCAATACCTTTCAAAGCCAGGAGTTCCATATATATCTTTCTGCATATCTTTCACTTCAACTTGATATCGTTCTAACTCATTGGCTGAGGTAGAAGGAAGAACGTTGGGAATATAACGTGAAAATAAATTAGGCTTCAAATTTACATATTCTGAAATATCAATAATAAAATTCATTCAAACATTGTTCATATTGATAAAACAAGCACTTGTGACTAGTAAGTTTTCCAAATCTCAACTCGAAGGTTATTGTGAATACTCACAGTTACACAATAATTGACCAAATACCACCTGACTCATACTTTGAATGGCTTAAGAGGTTTTCATGAAGCAGGAGTATTCAGTTTTAACAGGTAGAGTAAGATATCAACAAATCATCATCTAGTGAACCTCGTGGATTTTCAGACGAAGAAAACTGAAACCCACCTGGATTAAGAGAATAAAGATTCTGTATTAATCGAGCCATAACTGGTGGTGAGATTACAAAAGGTTGACTGCTAGTTTCATCTACTAGATCTGAAAAAATAACATCAGAATTAATATTTACTCATCAATTTATCTTTAATACTGACTGTAAAATAGCACGAGTTTTAATTCAGCCTAGGTTATCAGTGGGTGTATGTTACTTTGTCTGGCAAGCTGTTCCAATGTTAAATCATAACGATTATTAAAACAAAAATCCTTAAGAAATGACCCAAGATTATTTCTAGTCTGTAAGTAATGAATACTTACCTGATAAAGGGCTCAATTGTTTTAAATTATTTATTACCTGTTTAATTGTTTGATTAAAGTAAAATTTGTGAAAATAATCTAACAGTACTCAGTACTTACTTAAAATATGTGAGATTTGATTATCAACAACCTGGATACGGAATATTTTACGTAATTCTTCATTCAGGTCAGTTTTAAGTTTATTTTCTACATAAAAACGATTCTGAAATATTCAAAAATATAAAATATAGTAATTGGTGAGTCTAATGCTTATTTAGCCATGACTTTTTAGAAGTGATAAGGGTAATCCACATTTAGAATCCCTTGCCTAATGCTTTCTGATTTGATATTTCATAAGTCATACTAATAATAATAATAATTTCTTTATTGGGTTATCAATTAGGACTACCTTTCCAACATTGAGCCTGTATAAAGATACATAACTGCAAATAACACGTGTACAACGATAAAAACTTATATACAGTTTGTAATCAGCCTATATAAATAGAAGCTGTAAGTGTAAAACTGTTTTGGAATCCTGTCAAGACCATAATTCTATTAAATTAAAGTAATTAGTAGACCTACCATATAATTAAAAATAGGAACAATACCAGCCAGGGCCTGAAGATATTGATTCATTGTGAACGCAAACCTTTCTACAAATTCACGTTTGTCTTGCATCTAGAATATAATTAACATTCATTTCTAAATACAATCATAAAATATAAAATAATAGTTCATTCATTCACGTCTTTTATTTCCAGTATAAACTTTAGTTTACAGACGCCATTTTAATACAAACAAGAGTAAATTTAAACAATAAATATTGATCTAAAACAGAGTGGCTTTAATTGTTGAGATAGAAAGCAAAATATTTTCGAAGATAGTAACTAAAATATTGAACCAGTCTATAAAATATATGATTGAAATAAACTTACACTATTATTGAGTTCTTCTGTTAAATGGGTAACGTGTTGTTCCATGTGGCGTAATAAATCTTTATACAATCGTTCTGAGAATTGTTTACAAACACATTTATATACACAACTACAATAACAAAAATAAACAAACAAACAATGACAATATACTTGACTTTATCATTTAATTTCTAATGATATTATTATATAAAACCACACTGAAACATCAAAACCTACCTATTAATATGTTACAATATTGTTTTATATGGTCAACCTGTTTGAACCTTCCAAACTCTAGTAAGCATGAATAGATGAAACTATAAGAGGGATCTAGCTAACACAGCTGGAATGAAATGGTACTGGGGCTCAAATTTTGTACCCAGAGAACTCATTTAGGTGCCAAAAACATAACAAAATCTATTTCTTTTTGATTTTGTGTAAAGACACTGTATGAATCAATCTCTGCTGAACTGAAGAAAGTTTTGCTGGGACTTAATTCTCACTTACTGGGGCCCAGCCCCCACGGACCCCACCCTAATGATGGTGCTGAGCCGAAGGCACTGTAAATCCTAGCTGCAGTCCTCTTGTCAATGTTATGATCATCTTATTTATTGATATTTTTGTGTTGTAATGTTACCCCAGTATAATCTATATTTATTTCTATTCTGTATGTCTTGACCCGCTTTCATCAATGAATAAACAACCACATTAATATCACCAAGTTTTCAAACCTACCTATACATTTGTTCGTAAGAAATTGGAATATAACACCCAGGTTTTATTGTAAGAAGTTGGTCGATTGCATCTTGTAATTTCGGCCAGTAATGATTCTCATAGTCGGCTACTGTTAATGACATCATCACTGAAATAACAATCATTATCAAAATTTATACAGTCATTATTATCAGGCTAAGAGGCTTTGACATGGAAAATATATTGGTTCCAACTTCTAAAATTATAGTTAATACACAAATGTCAATTAAAAATCTAAGCCTTAGTATATGAATGGGTATTAGCTCTGGACATCTCATTCTAATATAGAATTGTAAATAACAAGAAAAGATTGCAGCATATGCTATCTACTCATTCCCTTCATAATGAAATATTGGCAATAATCCAACAGTAGTAATCCCCCTTCCTCACCACAATGACTCAAACAGAAATTGGCTTATTAAAGTCACTTACCCATGCTTCCTGGTCTTAAAAGTGGCACTGAATTTTTCTCAGGTGGATCGACGACCCCTGATTCTATAGAGTCGGGCTCCATGGGCTCAACGTGCATGTCCATCTTCAAATTACGATTTTAGAAGCCCCTCACTCAATATTCTTTAGAAAAATGACATTTTCTACTCCATCAATATTAATTACGACCTATTTTCGGCATAAATTTACGACAATATATCACCGCTTATCTCCCTTTAATTTCCCGGCTGATTCTTTTATGCCCATCTATTGGCAAATTCTTTCATATTTAACTTGCTTAACTAAATGGGCTCCGCTGTCAACAGTTTGCATAAATAATCAGTTGCAATTTAAGGACCATAGATAATCTTGTTGAAAAATTGTGAGTGTTTCATACCTGTCAATTAAAGTTGTTTTTCATTTTATTTTCAATGTCTTAAAATAAGATGGTTTCTTTTTGATGATATAACTGCTAACCAAGTACACCTAAAAAAAAATGGCCGACTAAAAAAGCACTTGTTCCAAACTTCCAAAAGTTCCAATGAAAATGGTTTGTGGCTCTTACATTCTATTGATTTGCCTTTTATTAATTGCTGTCACTTATGTTTCTCCAAGAGCTTTTAATGTAAGGCCAATTTTATCAAAGCTTAACGTCTGAGAGACTAAAACCTTAAACTTTAGACAAGTCATAGACTTTTTTATATTGCAATGTGGCATGGCACTTCCCTCCACTCTTCTAGTTCCAGTAATCTAGTTATTGTCTTCTCAATTTCGTTGGTGCATACACAGTTTTACCTCCACTTTTCATTAGAATTGGAATACCAGTGCACAAGCTTCATTATTGAACCCATCTGAACTCTGAACTGAAGTCGAGATTTAAGCTAAAATTATATTTTGTTCTTGCAGGTTCCACTGATGTGTAAAATGTTGACAGGAATTGAAGTCAGCAAATAGCGCAACTTGAAATGGATCTGAATGATTTTAGTACCACCAATATTCCAGACTCTGTTCAAACAACTGATTTTCAAACTCAACTCTCAGTGGCGTATTCTTATCCTAATATGGATATTAATTCCAATTTTACAATGACAGACTCTACGTCATTTCAGTACGATAAAATTGTCCCACATTACGTCACAGTAGCTCAGAGCATTAACCACGAACAAAACTTAGGCCTAATATCAGCACAGAATGATATAATACAGCAGAATGACGTGTTTGATATTCCAATACATAACCATGACAAGATGGTAGATACAGGTCAGAACTATTTATCATCGAGTGAATACAGAGACACTACCCAGTTAATATCTCTACCACAATATATCAATAAAGTACAAAATACTCAATACACAGGTGAAGTCAATAACTACCAACAAACTCATAACTATCTCTATAATCCACAGGAAACTCTCGCAGCCAATCAGACAGTGATATCTAATGCGTATACGAGGTTCGCTCAATATCCTCAACCAATCACTTCCCATTCCTACCAACTTCAAACAAATATCCACGATATTGGCGAAATTATTCCTAGTGTAAATTATAACTCAAACTCAAATCTTGGAATCAATGGTTCACAAAACTCATCCAGTTTACTTACTTCGTCTCAAAACAGCAACCAAGTTTCCTTCGCCGATATTTTACTTGATCATAATTCGTCCAATACCAGTAGTGGAACACTGTCTGCTTCAGATTTAGAAGTGCTGAGTTCGTGTCTCCAAATTTCACAAGACGGTCAACTGTCATCTTCGGAACATTCTGTGAATCCAGAAATTCTGCTCAATCGACCTCAGAACTCCGACATGATTTACACGCATTTTGAACAAACGGAAGTGGCAGCTAATGAAGACTGTGTAACGAGTGAAATGTATGAACAAGCGTCTGCGCCATCTCGAAAGCAACGTGTGGAAGACAAGCGAAGAACTATGAAGGTGTCGTGTCAGGAAGAAAAAGCCGGACGTGAGAATAAAAAAAGTGTTATTGTTTGGGACGATGTGACGTCACTTCCTGAGAAAATCTCACTTCCACTTCCACCTTACTGTGATTGTGAAAATATCCTGATAGACACGGAAGAAAAAATCAAACAACAAAGTTATATTAAAAATAAAAAAGAAATAATTTTACGACACGTTGGAAGAGTTGTAATCAATGATATAGAATTGTGTAGTTTCGTTCGAAATGAGACAGCGTACATCAGTTCTGGACAATTATTTTCCACTGGAATATTTAATAAGGCAGCTCATCAGTTATTTTCCTCATGCGGCAAAAGTTTCCCGTCATTTGTCGACCGGTTATTAATTGAAGAGCGTGAATACATGAAACAAAAAGGATTTCTGTCTCAAACCGAAACGAAGTCAGCGTTATTCAGTGCAGGATTTGTAGGTTGGATTATTGACTATTTAAACCGAGATGTGAATGACAAGAATCGAACAATCATTTACGAAAAATATTTAGGTCACCATTGTTCAAAATATAAAAGTCTGAAATCGTGGCAGGCCCCAACTCCACTACCTATACCAACACGAACTTATATCAGAACTAAACCTAAAAATAAAACAACAGGCTCGGATATGATAACAACTTATCTGGTAAGGGATGGTAAAACAGATAAATTCACTGTCGCGGAAATTGGACGGCTGATGTTCAGTGATAAGATTTTAGCCGCGTTTATGTTAGACGACGGACGAGAAATTGTGTGCGTTAATTTTTATCAAGTCGTAGTTTACGCTCCTGGGGTAAGTTTTACGGAATTTTACAGCCTTGTGAAAGAATTTAATTGTAGACTAATTACAAGCCCTGACGGAGTCAAAAATCATTTTAAAGCTTTAAAGCAAGAAGTACCTGTAGCGTTTCTCGAATCGGAATGGATCAAGTTGTCCAGCTTCATGCAGATTTGTTCTTATTTACTGGGCAAATTACCTCACAAACATCAGGCCAAGGTTTATTTTAATCAAATTCTTAAATCAAAACCAAGAGAAATATTCGGACATGAATTAAAGATTTCTTTATCTAAAATAACTTTTCCGGAAACTGAAACAGGTGTTGTAAATTCTGGAGATATTTTATCAATGGCTGCAGCTTCTGCCAATATTGGAACGGATTTCGTTCAAAACTCAGAAGTTCTTATACAACCTCAACTTGCACACGGATCCAGGAAATCAATTTCAAAATCAAATGATAAAGGTCAAAATTCTCAGCTAGAACTTAAAAAAATGGTGGTCACGAAAGCTCAAAATTTGAAAAAAAGAGGACGTCCACCTACTCAAGCACGTTTCCATTTACTCAAAGACTCAACAGAATCAGAGACAAAAACTTGCGCAGTACAAACTGATCTGGATTGTGAAGACTCGTGTGAAAGTGTGCCAAATATAGATTTAACCCATATCCATGTTGATGATTCAATTCCAGCCGTTTCTAAGGTTACAGCATCTTCTCACACAAACTCTACATCTGTGTCAAAAACTGTCACTCAAAATGATCAAAACTCGATAACGGAAGTCAACTCTCCTGTGCCAAAAGTTCAAAATACTAGTATAAGTGATATCGAGTCAAAAACATTTTCAACGGACGTGAATTGCAGACCCAAAACTCATGTAAATGAAGAGAGTGGTAGATCAAAATATCGCGATGCTGCAACAGGAAGTGACCAAGAAATGGGCAGCAGAATGAAAGTGGCAGACGCTGAACTCTCGTCTGCTATTGAAACTATAAACAATCTGGATTTTTTAAATGATTCTTTTGAGTTGGATTCGTCCTCGCCTGACAAACTTCGGATCGATCTGTCTGCCTCCAGGAATGGCGCCTCAACTCCCAGTGTATCAGACACCGAGAATATCAGCAACGGGAGAAAAGAACACACCATCATGTCCAATTCCAATGTGACGGTCATAGCCAATAATACGGGAGAAGAAATATTCGAATGTGTTCCTCTATTTTCATTGGCTGAATTAGTTCAGAAAGACGAAGGAAACATGCTCAATCCATATTCTCCGTTTAAATCCGCAGAAAATACAATCCCCTTGAATCAACTGGAAGAAAATGACTACTCAGAAAGTTTCAATAACCAGTCCCCTGCCAAAACTCAACGAAATTGTCTAGAAAGTTTTGAGGACAGTTATGGGCCAATGAAAAAGAATTGTATGAATTCGAACGCAGATTTAAAAACATTGAACCAAGTGATATTAGGAGAGGAGCCTGATTGGGTGTTGAGTCCACAGAAATCGTCCAATACAATGGCTAGTTTGTTCGACACTCCGAAAACTTCACCGCAACTGGATAGATCTGATCCTAAAACTCCACGACTTCAATCTTTGTGTCAGAAATTTAATAAACTAGAAAGGGAAGCAACTCCAAACACTTCTCTTCATTTTTTTGCTGAGATTGCGTCTGCTTCTGAAGACATAGTAGAAAATAATTCAACACTTTCAAAGTAAGTTCAGGGGGGAATTTCTTAAAATTTTGACTTTCTATACAATTTAGTTCTAATAGCCAGTCATGTTAAAGCCCTTCCCCACTAAAAATACAATCTGGATCTTATCATAGTTCAAATATGGCCCAGATTTAAATTAACTCTACTGTTTATGCAAGTTAAAACATTACACAAAAACGGTGGCACTGGCATAATTTACTCCATTCTACACTTCTGGGTCTGTGATAATGTGGCGCATTGATAATTTGATTTATGGTTTATTTACATTCATTATTTTTTTTTTTAATTTTCAGAAAAAAATCCAGACCAACCTTTCCAGTGAAACTTTTAAAACATGTGTCAAATGTGTCGAGTTTTCTGAATCGAGATTTAAAACTGAATAAAGCTACGCTATTTAAAAACAAGTTTATGTTGAATATCAAACTAAAGAAAACCATGCTGAGTCTTTATCGTAATTTAGGTAAATTTTTCTATTTTCAGTATTTTCTCTGTGTTCACTTAGAAAGCTCATTTGAGAGTTGGGGAATTGGCTTTAGTTTTAACATTTTTTTATTTGTCTACTGCCACGCTACTGCAGCAATTGGACGATGCAAATTGTGTCACAGAAAGCAATAATTTATTTACATCTATCACAGGGCTGTTGATTTGGCCATATTTGCTGGACATGCAATTGTCTGTCCAAAATGGCTGGTTGATAATAGCCTTTGTTTGACATCAAGTTTAGGATTATTAGAGACACAATCCACCTAGTAATTTACACCCAATATTAAGATTATTAGTGATCATATTGCAATAACACTTAACATATAGAGTTCTCTTTCAGGAACTGATTCAAGCCTGATGGAATCCTTCCAGAAATTGTTAAAACTGACTGTTTTACTTCTGTCTAAAATCTGTACCATTTCTGAACTTCAGAGAAATTTAGATCTGTTGAAAAATCACAGAAACGTTTCAGAAACTCAAACTGTTGATTCTGAAGAATTGGAACGAGATGAAGAGATGGAAGTTACTTTCACAGAAATCAGGTCTGTTCCAGCGACAAAAGTGAACGCAAAAAATGATGAAAATGTGGAGAAAATCGAATCAAATTTATCAAAGAATACTTCCAATACTCTTCAAAATGAAGAAAAAGCTTCTCGCGTGCCAATGTCCCAAACGAATATTTCCGAGGAAGTTTATGTTAAAGACTGTTCTGATAAAGAAAAGGCAACTCTTGAATCAAACTGTATTATAATCCACCAAAACATACTTCAAGAAACTGTTTCATCCCCTGAAAAATCTAGTCCCTCAAAATACAAATCTCGAAAACGAAAATTAAGAGACATTTTTCCTCAGAATGAAGACAAAGAACTTGCAGGTGCCATTTTGAATCACAAACAAACTTCTTCAGATGTTGAAATTCATTTCCCAAATTCAAAAAAATCCAAATTGGTATCCGACAATTCTGATAAGACTGATGAGGGGGTTGAAAATGCACCTCTTGCAATCAATTTGGATAAAAATAGAACTGAAAGTTCAAAAACTAGTGGAGAAAATGTAAAAATAAATAGTGAAAGTACGACAATGTGTAACAGTGAAAAATATCCAGCATTATTACAAAGTTTATTAAACTCTTGTCCTATTTATTCAAAACCCAGTTTAAATACCTCAATATTGAGAAAACCTGAACCTAAAACTTTTGATGTGTGTGTGAACACTACGACTGAAAAATCCTCTCCGCTAGGGGAATGTGAGACCCCTCAGCCTCCATCCTTGCCAGAAACAAACTCTTCACAAACCCCTCAGACACAATCCATGTCAAAGAAAAGTTATTCACAAGGTAAATGCAGTAATAAGACTTTGAGAGAAAAATGTTTTCCATATCAAGGTAAATGTGTTACTTCACAAACTCTGTCTTCGCTAGAAAATAATTCACAACAAGAAACAAGTGAAATCACTCAAAATGGACGTCTGCCAGAAGATAAATTTCCGGTCGTGTCTGGTAAACGAAGACGAAAAAAACCTGCGAAATTCGATGAGGAATTTTTATCGCGTCCCAAACCGAAAGCTGAGAAAAAACAAAAGAAAACGTTTCTTGATAAGTATAAACAAAATGGAAAATTCTCTCATCAGAGTTTGATTGAAAAACACTCGAAACCTGTTAAAGAAAGAAAAAAAAAACATAATGATATTGCTATGGAAGAATTACCCACAAATGAAGAAATTTTCGTGTATATTCCCCCCGTCTATGGAGCGAATGATAACGTTATTGACAATTCAACGCAGATAATTCCTGCATCAAAATTCAGACGGCGTAGTAACAAAATTAAAGACATTTTGAAGGAAAGTGATTCTGAACGAGATAAGGAAGAGACAGTGTTAAACAGTGCTAAAACATCGCCTGAGGACATTCGACCATCATATAGTGTAATAGACTCCAATGGGAAAATTCTCCCCTCTCCCAAACCAAATAACACGAATCGTAAAATATCTATGAGTAGTGGTGCTAGTGGAAATGGGGAGAAATATGAAATATTTCAAAGTTGTTAAAATCTTACAGATTTCTTGATATCTTGTATCAATCCTGATTGGTTTTTAACATCAACATCAATTCAAACCATAAACATTAGAATTCTATTTTATTTTGAGGTAGTGTAAGTAATAATCAACACAATATAAGTTTATTCTGTATAGTTTCTATTATTATTTATTCTACCTATAAATAAAGTGAACTGTTTGTGTTTGTGTTTTATTTTGAGGTAGTGTAAGTAATAATCAACACAATATAAGTTTATTCTGTATAGTTTCTATTATTATTTATTCTACCTATAAATAAAGTGAACTGTTTGTGTTTATGGAATCAATGCCTGACGTAGATAAATATCTTTACCAGGCCCTAGTAACTCATTATTCTGATATTTACCAATGGTAATTTGTTATTATTTTACTAAGTCATAAGAATTGCATGTTTGCCCTACGTTCTGCATTTTTCTCAGCAAGAAGCATTTTGTTTTTGTTATTTTGGATCGTTTTTTAATCTTGCTAATTATTGTTTTAAATCTTGCCCAATGCTTGACAAAGAAGACTTTGGACCTTGTTTGATGAAAAGAATCTCTTGTTTTCAGATCTGATTCATATGGTTGTTCATGCGCCAGGTTTCATTTTGAATTATGTTGAATTTATAGTGGTCAAATTTGCTAATGTTTACAGAAACATTTTCATGAGTTTTAAGGTTTGCATGTGTTTAACCTATCTCTATATTAATATGATAGACCAAGATATTGATGCACAGGGTTATTCTACCCCTGGCTTCGAATGGCAAACCAAATGTTGTTCATCATCCTAATTTCTACTTTTTATCTTTTGATCTTGCAAACACCATGCAGTGTGCAATGAGCTTTACAAGTTCTTTAAGCAATGATAAGATGATGATCCACCTCTATGAGATTGTGAAAGCAATGGCTAGATGATAATCATTTTGTAACGTTGCTCTAGGAACTTGTGACCTACCTTCATAAAGGTTGGTATTTCTTAAATCTTTCATTTAACATTGAGTTTTCGCAGGTTATATTTCTTCCCACCCCCCATACTTAATTACCCCTCCCTCTCTCCCTCTATCTTCTATATTTCATAATGTATCAGCTCTGGTATAAAATGTTTCCCTGTTGAAATCTTGTTAAATGATTTTATTGTTTTTATGTTTGTTTCAGCGAGTGACTGAGTCTGAATTTCATTTCAATCAATCAAATTTGTTGAGATATTTTTTGTAAATTTCATCCAGAAAAATTGCAAAAAAACTGAAGCTTTTGTTTTTATTTATAATGACTATTCTTTACAATCTCTTTAAGATTTGATTGAATTAGGGGCAAAGTTCAAGGACATAGACTAATAACACAGAACTAAAATTAAAATCTATTTGCATAATGAAACAAGAAAAATATCTAAAAAATATTTAAAATGAGAATATAAAACAACATTGAGAAAAAAGAAATTGGAATGATGTTTAAATATGATTCATAAAAAGACCTACTAATTTGTTACTATTTTCATAATGTCAAGCTAATACCAACTTTGTCTTATACCTAGACTCAGTCTAGTAGACTGCATGCCAATTTTCCTTTTCTGGTATCACAGAATGCAGTGATTTTAACGATCGTTCTCCTGGGAATACAGCCAATCAGAGCCCTTGACAGAAAGATTGTAAACATCGTGGCTTATTGTTCTCAGTCTGTCTGACGTAAACTCTGATTGACTGTATGAGCTAACATACAATCTAACCAAATTGCTACATTTACAACTTTCATAATACAAGAGTAGTAGCTATTGGGGTCAAGGTATAAGACAGAGTTTATTTTGTCTAGTTTGATGATGTACATATTTGGTGTTTGAAATGTTGGCATTCTAGGCTTATGTTTAAAATCAATCCTAAAATAATTTCTAATCTTTGTTTGTACATCAAGACATAGCTTCTTTTTGCATCATATTCTAGTCGTTATTGTGGAATTGCACAAACCACCATGTTTTTTTAGCAACAGTAGATATTATTCACATCTATCCTAAGATATGGTAAATATTTACTATTGCTGAAGGAAAATAATGGAAAACAGACTTCAAACAATTATCAGAATGGTGTAAATAGAAGCTATAAGTGTCTTTGATATACAAAGTCTGGAAAACCTCTTTTTAATCAGTTGATAATAGTCATAATCATACAAAAATAACAAAATTCAGGAATTGGTCCTGCATTCAGTTGCCTCCTTTGTCAACACCTTCTGTTAACTGAATGTTCAGACTGATTATAGATAAACATGAAGACTTATATAAGGCACAACATATTAAGATATAGTAGACAATATTATTCACTATAGTGCTCTATAGATTGGCTATCTTGGGGTAAGCTCAGAAAGAAAGCCCCAATCTTTAAACTCTAGGCCAGGTATTCTCCAAACGGTCTTATAGCTAGGACGTCCTAAAGACAGTGTTAGTAGTTAAGACCCTAGGACATCCTAGCACTAAGATCATTTTGAGAATACAAGGCCCGGTTTTCAAATTTTGTCCTACGTTTGGCTGAGCTTAGTTCCACCCCACACATCAATAGCACTGTGGAAGGAAAGAACAAACAGTTGTTGAGATCACTACTGACTATAGAATAAAACCAATATGGATACTACTGTCATCCATAAATAGAAGAATAAGTCGGCACTTTTGATTTGATGATGGGAAGAGCTTCCTGTAATAGAAAACAAAAAACTTAAACACAGTACAAAGACAAGAAAGAATTTCAAAAGAAATTGGATTGTAGTCTGATTAAGTGATCGGGTGTTGTGGGTTCGAAACTTCTAATGTATTTTAACAGCCATTGTTTCTGGAAGCAACCCATTCCACTCAATCAAAAGCCAGTGGTCCAGGAAAGCAAGAAAACAACTTCATCACTAATTTTCCCAAGAATTAAACCCTAGTTCTGGAGGTAAGTGAACTAGTTCTTAACTGAAATTTGTTTTACAGGGAAATCAGAGTTGAATAATGTGTTGGAACCTTGCAATACCAAACTAATTTACAATGTAAAATAAGGAGTTTCTCCAGCAAGCTAAGAAAAACAAAAGAGTAATCGTACCCTGCCACAATTCTCTTCAAGTTGTTGTAAACATTCAGTTATTCTTTCTTTATATTTCTTCTCCATCATCCTCTTAGCCAACTTCAAATATTAAAAATATAAATAATTTCACATTGGTTCTCGATTACACATTTTACTGTTTAATTATCAAAATTCAAAAGTCTTCTGAATAATTATTTATAATAGTGAGTTTTTATATTATTTTTTTAAGCAGGAGCACAGTTCTATAGGTAAACTAACGTTAAATTACTTACAGGCATGAGTAAAACTTTAAGATGAGGAGTTAAGGCTGGTCCTACGACGTCACTCAGTTGAATAGTGGCTGCTAGACCTCTCTCAAATACTTCTACATTCTCGTGGGCCTGGAATATATATCAAAACACTTTTATTTGTAAATTAGTGAAATAAGATGTTTCCGTTAATCTTAGAAGGACTGACAAGAGGTTTGCTATTTTTTTTTATGTGTATTGTGGACACTTTTAGCATTGATTTGCATCATTCCAATTTTCAATCAGACATCTGTGATGCGATAACATGCATACATACGATCAGGCAAAAATAAAATATGCTACAAATTATCTGCCCTTATCATAACAGGAAAGATACTTATAAAATTAACTATGGGTACTAACCAATGCAGCTCTGAGGGGTGGGGCTAGTCTGGGTAAAAGGGGTGTGGCTTTTTCTCCAGCATTAGGGACCTCCAATAACTCTTTAAACCCAGTTTGTGATACAAACATGTACGGATGAACTGTTTCTCGTAAACCCTTAAAAATAATAGCAAAAATTAAGTAAAAAGTTGGAGGACACCTGTTTTCCGCAAAGAAAATAAAGTCAGCAAGATATTACTGTTGTCCTTTTATGAATGTTTCTTAGATGGTCTTCAGAATCATCCATCCTCAATAATTTTCATAAGAAGTTTATAAAATCATAACAATAATAAACTAGACTAGGAACAGACTTGAGTAAAATAAATAATACTTACATCAGCTAGTGCTACTAGAATAGGATTAAATGGAACTTGTTCTGGAGGAATTTCCCACTGTATTCTATGTTTAACACTACCATGGAACAATCTATAATAATAAAAAAAGATTTCAATGGTTAAAATTTTTCAATCTACAGGACTAGAGCTCATCTCATTAATTTATTCATCGAATAGTCTAGAGTTAAAATATTTTATGAAATATAAAGATAATAATATAATAATAAGTTGAATGTTTGATCGAAAAAACTTAAATTTACCTGCAAGGCACACCTCCATTAGCATATAGATTAGCAAATGGTGATAAACATTTCGTAGAATTCTTAAACTGGAATAATAATAATTTACAAATTATAGAGAATTTAACAAGTTATCTATCAATCTATATCTACTCATTTCAAATTGCGAAGTTTCAAACTTTCTTGGATGCAACCATTTTCTTAAATTTCCAGAATCAGACCAAATCTAATGGTTTAAAAAAAAGCCTTTTCTTTCCTGCTGTTATCGTCATAGTTTATATTTCGGGGAATTGGCGTCCCAGAAAAACTTTCATTAATAATTGACATACTTACAGGATCAAATGTTTTAGGGTTTAATTTATCAGAAGGTCGATTTTGAAATGATGATTTTGATCGTGAAGACCCAGCACTGTCGACTGATTTAGATTTCTGTAATTTGACACTTCCTACTCCACGTCCACCTTGATTGGGGTTAAATCTCGGAGCATCTCTAGGTGTGGGTGCTTCTTTTGACCATGATGAAGCCATTTAATTTCTGATGATGTCTTGATTTGGTGGAGAATTTTAGAATTTTGATATCTGTAAAAAATCAAACATCACAATTATTACATCAAAAGAAATAAATTTAATATATTCTTACTGATCTTCAGTCTGTATTAAACTCACAAGCTTCTAGAATATAGAGTGAATAGGACAAGAGTCTAGCCTACCGTACTAAACAATCAATTCTTGGATCTAAAGAATTGCTGTACATTATCTTACATTTGGCTCATAGAGTCAAGCAATTTATTTGTAAACACCCTCTTAGTTAAAATGATAAAATGATTGCACAACAATTCTTCTATAACATGATCATAAAGTCCAGAGTCAGGTTCCCCACCCCCATCATTTCCTTGACCTTATTAAAACACATCTTGTTATCCGATATAATATATTCTACTCCTGTCTACTAACTTAGATTTTATCCAGACTCCTTGAAGACATGAAACACTAAAAACTCACAGCTAGATTGTAGAATTTCACCAGCAATTTCAGATTTTCATTGCCATTTTCACAAAATACAACTTTCACTTTATTTACATCAAGCACTTGTTGTACATTTCAACATCCAGCCACAAACAGCATATTGGAATAATTTTAATTTTAATTACTAAAAATCTAGTGTTTATCTAAAAATATCACGATTAACCGTTTGATTAAAATTGTTGTGTCGATACGGGATATTTCTATCCAGTGAAATATGGAGTTCTAACCGAAATGAAATTTTTGAAAGGTTTCATTCAGATTTGACAAGCGTCTGGAAGAACGCGCCATTAATTTACCGTTACTACGAATATTCATCCGCTATTGAAGTAAAATACTAATTACACTTTAGAAAAATATTTTTCTAATTTTCATCAAATTCAACCGACATCAACAGCATAAATACATTTGGAAATTTTGTTATATTTCGTTTTTGTCGACATTTTGTCCAATAACCGAAATTTTGTTTAAGGTACTATTTTACACGCGCAATGGTGTGATTCGGCATATAAACAATATGGCCACCTCCATGAAAACAAGAAATATTATTATCTCAGAATGAAACAGATCTTTTTTTACTTCAAACAACATAATTAAAGCAGTTGGATTAACACAAACTTTAAAACATGGATTCAAGTATACGCAGCCTGATTTGTACTGCAAAAAGCCAAGCAGGTACAGAACTTTGACGTTCATTTCTTTGCCAAAACAGTGTCACTCCAAGAAAAAAAGGGGAAGGGGGAGGGGGCTTGTCATTTGTATCCCATTCACCCACTGACCAACTACTCTTAAGTCTAGCAATTGAACTTGAATTTTAAAACAGAACTTATTTCAGACTAATGTGTCATCTGCCTATCATCAGTATTCTAAAATGGAGAAGAAAAACTTAATTGTAATTCATGTTTTTTTTCACTTCAGGAGCAAATCAAATCCATGCTTTAGAACAGGCATACAAGATTTTACGAACAGTGGCAGAAAACAGACCAGCTATAGATGAAACTGAGGCGTTTAATTCTGATCTTTATGTTTTATGTGCAGAAACAGCTTATCAGGTTAGTTCCCGTTTGAAATTTGAGTAGGATTGTTGAATATTTGTGACTACTGATTATAGTAAGGCACAGATATTCGTGCTAATCAGGGGACGTTGTCAAATACACAGAGAAGTCTATTGTCTAGCTATCCTAGCAAACACTCTGAGTTTTTTGTTCAAAGTTAATTCCACTGTCTTCAGATAAATAAGAATTATACCACTCCCAGCAACATTTACATTCACATACAGGAATTTTTATCAAAAGTAACAATTATTTTATTTTGACAGTATGGTTTAACAGATATGACAAGAGAATGTTTAAAGATGTTTTTTATGAAGCCACCGCCTGCCAATCAGTTTTTATGTCGAGCCTATCTCTGTCAGGCTCAGTTGATAGCGCCACATGATGCCAATAATTGGGTAAGTTTTCAACATTTAGAAAATCAATTAAATCCTCATTTTAAAATGAAAAGTTCTCCTCTTTTTAAAAATTTCCAAATGATGCTTATTACACTTAATATTTAAAAAAAAAAATAGAGCTGACTTTTAGTTATTCTCTGATTATATTTTCTAGGCTCAGTTAGAGAAGGCAGTAGTGTATATAGTAAAGGCTATTACAATCGCTAAAACAAATCAGAGGTAAGTAAATATACTAATTTAATATCACAAATATTGGTATTGAAATAGATCTGTATAGTATTTACTGTTTTCTATAGTCCAATAAGATACAGAACAGTAGGATATAAAACTCTATTTCATTTCATTAGTCCAATAAGGTACAGAACAGTAGGATATAAAACTCTATTTCATTTCATTAGTCCAATAAGATACAGAACAGTAGGATATAAAACTCTATTTCATTTCATTAGTCCAATAAGGTACAGAACAATAGGATATAAAACTATATTTCATTTCATTAGTCCAATAAGATACAGAACAGTAGGATATAAAACTCTATTTCATTTCATTAGTCCAATAAGGTACAGAACAATAGGATATAAAACTCTATTTCATTTCATTAGTCCAATAAGATACAGAACAGTAGGATATAAAACTCTATTTCATTTCATTAGTCCAATAAGGTACAGAACAGTAGGATATAAAACTCCATTTCATTTCATTAATCCAATAAGATATAGAACAGTAGGATATAAAACTCCATTTCATTTCATTAATCCAATAAGATACAGAACAGTAGGATATAAAACTCCATTTCATTTCATTAATCCAATAATATACAGAACAGTAGGATATAAAACTCTATTTCATTTCATTAATCCAATAATATACAGAACAATAGGATATAAAACTATATTTCATTTCATTAGTCCAATAAGATACAGAACAGTAGGATATACTCTTTTCATTTCATTAATCCAATAAGATACAGAACAGTAGAATATAAAACTCTATTTCATTTCATTAGCCTAATAAGATACAGAACAGTAGGATATAAAACTCCATTTCATTTCATTAGTCCAATAAGATACAGAACAGTAGGATATACTCTTTTCATTTCATTAATCCAATAAGATTCAGAACAGTTGGATATACTCTTTTCATTTCATTAGTTCAGAATACAAACAGTATAAAGGAATTTTAAAAAAACCAATTCATGCCAGCCTTTAAAGTAAGAAAGTTTTTAATTATTCATCATTTTTTTTTTCTTAAATCCTACTTGACTTTTAAGAATACCTTTTTTTCTATTTCAGATATCATTTTATTGTGTACAATGCTTCAGTTATCTACTGGCAGTTCTGTCGGCCATTTTTAAAACCAGGCTATCGTCAATATCTAGCTACGAGTCTACACCAGATCGTCAAGGCTCTTGATGATATAGACGATCAGGATTTTGAATGGAGAGCACAACTAATGATGTAAGTCGAAGATTTGGTTGTTTAATGAAATTATTCTCGTTAAGACTTGTTAGTAATAGAAAAGAGAGTTCCAATGGTCTCTGGCCCCTCTAGGTCAAGCAACAGGTTTGAAATTTTGTAAGGTGCAATAAGTTTTTTTTTTGCTTTTTGCTGTATTTTCATTCTGTATTTCTCACCTGTTATTTTACCTGTATTTGTAGAGGATTGATAGAATGTCATCTGGATGCTGGTAGAAGATCTGACGCCTCTCATATCGCCACGGCAGCAGCTACCTTTATCAAACAAAATGTTCCAGCCATGTTTAAACAAGTTTTTGGTTTGATGGTATGAAACCATTTAATTTATTTGTAGATTTGTCTTCTAAACCCTAATCACTATTACAGAGGTTTCATGGATAAGATCTCCACAAATTATGAAAACTGCACTGTCATTATCAAACAATATGTGTTGATACCAATAATTTCTCATCTTTTCCCATTTTCAGGTCCATAACCAATTAGTAGAAACATCCAAATTACATAAAGATATCAAAAATTCACCAGAGTTGTCAGTTTATTATAAAATATGTAAAATCAAATTGTAAGTTTGAATCTTTCATTTTAATCCTGATTTTATAGATCACAAGAACAAATAAGTAATTAAACTGTATGGTGTTATGTATTATTGTGGTCTGAAAATATCAAGTCTATTAAGAGTTACTTCCCTTGGACTGATAAAGCAGATGAGATGGCCTGAATAAAGATGGTGATGAGATTTATCATGTGCTATATTTAAATTTAAGCCATCTTAACAAACTTTACTCCAACAATTCATACTAGACTTTCTAAAATAGATGCTGGGTTATAGCAGCAGATATTGAGAGAACTGTAATTAAATCTGAAACCTTGTAGCTTTGCTTTCTCATTCATTTCCATTCCCATACAATTGATATTGGACTCATTTCATGTCTTTCTGATTGATTTTGTTGACCTTTGAACTTTGATTATTGATTACAGTTTGGGTAGGTAGCCTACTATCATTTCATCATATCATCATCGGTGCCTTGATTTTTTCCAGATCTTTAGAAATGAAGGAACAGAAAGACTACTACACTGAAATACAAGGAATATTGAATCAGATGGGACTGACTGTTTCTCAAACCTTGTCACAAACAACTGTGTCTGATCGTATTTCACGGAAAGATTCCAAAATGGCGACTGGTCGTGATAGTTCTACCAACGTTAGTTTATCACAGCCTGGTAAAGATGAGGAGACAACTCCTACTAAGTAAGTAAAAATATGTGTTGATCTGTTATGTTATGTCTAGTATGATAATGTCCACAGTCCTCTAATCAATTTAACTGAAATGATGGACTGTAGCTTAGTTAGTTAGAGTGTTGGAATGTAAACAGGCAATAAGGCAGAGCATGCTCACTCCTCAAGAACACCCAATTCTACATAGCTTATTTCGTTTTAAGATTTCTCAAGTCTGCTTTCATCTTATCTAATAATGATTATTCGGTTTTTAGATTTTTCAACTCAGCATCTCTTTCAGAGAGTCCACATAGTTAATAATGTTTATTTGGTATTTAGATTTTTCAACTCGGCATCCCTTTCAGAGAGTCCACATAGCTAATAATATTTATGTGTTATATTTTTTGATAACAATGTTTGTATTTTCTAGAAGAAGTGGAAGTAAAACAGGAAGAAGAACTCCGACTCCCACCAGTTCTAAAAGATTTCCAGGAGACTGTTCTGACAAGTAAGTTTTTATTAAATTTCTTTAGCACTGAGGGGTGATGGATTTTCAAAGCAGTTTCCCCCTGTCAGTGATGTTCTTAGGAGGAACTGACATGGAAAAAGTATCAAATCTTCTGGTCTGAATATTTAAGACATGTGATTAATGTTAATATTCTAATTTTCAGGCCATATTTATTACTGGAACTAGGCAGATTGTGTTTGGAGCTAGATTTACCTGAGTTAGCCGAGAGTTGTGTGGACTCTATTAAACAGAGTAATATCAAGGTGGGTATGGGGTTAACAGACTTTCCTTATTTTAAGGGTACCTTGTTTTCAGCGTGTTTTGAAATCTAAACTTTATCCACCAATCAAATTTGACGCTTTCAATCAAGACGGTTTCTCATTGGTTGAACTGATTATGTAAGTTTTTATGTTTTCTCCGATGTATATTTCAGGATCCCAAGTTTTTTCTGGAGTTAGAATTTCTGGACTGTGAAATGATGGTCAAAGTTTTGGGTGAAAAACAAGAATCCTATCAGAAAGTTTCAGTAGATGTAAGTATATCAGCTTTTTCTCTAGTTGTTAACTCTTCTATTACAAGATTTATAATTTTCACAACAGAGTTAGTTATATAGATATATTTATCAAAACATTTCCAATCATTGACTGACTTCCCCTGGTTTTTACCATTGTCTTTGAAATACTTGTTTTGAAATAAATACAACTATTATTATTATCTCAACTGTTAAAATAGTATTAAACTATGTCAGATTCAAATATATGTAAGTTGTTGATCTCGTGATATTTTAGAAGCTTTTTCACTGTTTTTATTGATTTCTATCTTCAAATAAAAGAATGGTAAATCTTCATAATTATTTTTTATTATACAGACAAGATTACTGAGTATGAAACGTTGTGAAGAAGCCATAATGAATTCAAAACGTCAGGGAGATCCAAATATTGTACAAGTTGGTTGTGTAACTCAGTGGAATCTATCTCTTCCATTACAACAACCAAATCTACGCCATCACATTCGTAAACATCTGACAGTTATAGCTGAGGCCTTGGAGGAAATTAACAGGTAGGCACATTCTATTTTACGATTCACTGTTCTTTTACTCCTTGACTATAGTAATAAAGATGGAAACTAGCATATTTATAAGGAACACAACTGTGGTTCATGAGTATCCTTTCTACCAGCTGATCCTTGGTCAAACCTTGACATCAATCTTTCTGAGATTATCTGTTATCTGTTACAGAAAGGTCCACTGGGAGTTTTAGTCTGGTATTTGTGCACACATGGGTATGAATCGAAACCTAAACACATACAATTCACTATATATTCAGGTAGAATATTTAAAACACTGCATACTTGTCGGACAAATATCTTCGTGTTCTTTACAAACTAGTGTTTTGGTTAAGAATTGGACTCAATTAAAACAGCAGACGTTATATTTTTTTTTCAGTCTGTTGGTACAGTTACGATGTCAGATTCATACGGAACTCTCCCATTGTGAAGAAGATAGTGAACAGATTCAGGTTGCTATGCAACACATTAAAAAGGTAAGTAATAAGAAATTCACAAAGTTGACTATGGTGACAAATGATGAAAATGAGAGGTGTGTCTCTTAGGCGATGCTCAAAGAGTCCAGCACCTTGAAGTAGGATATCTTAGGGTAGCCAATGGATTTGAGATAACCTGTGATGAATTTTGACCATTAAGAGGTCTTAATTTTCAATTCAAACTGAGACTTTTCACAGGCCTGAGACTTGGTTCATGTATTAACCCAGTTATTTATTATTATTATTGTAGGCTCTGTCTCTAGATGATGGTGAGGTTTATAGAGAACGTCTTGAAGTAGCGTTACACCGACTAGAATTACGATCAGAACTTTATCAACAACCTGAACGAGCTGAAGATCTAGCAGCCATGATTATAGAACAGGTATTTCATTTCTACTTTAATCTGTTGATTAAATCTATTTTTAATGAATTGAGAGAACAAAGATTCTATACAATATTTTCTATCCTGACAAAATTTCTCTTTCTTCCACATTGCACAGCGATGCCCATAAATTTGTCTATTGAACTGTAAACATATTGAATTGATGTTTATTATAAATAATCTGATATTTTATATTTTATTTAGGCTCGTAACTGTGATTCTGGTACTATTAGAATGAAGAGGTCGTTACTTGTAAAAGCTGGTGAAGCTCTATCACCTGACGCCTTTCTTCTTGTACTGGATAGTGAGAGCGAAACTAGAGGTAAGAGGAGCTTTTTTCCCTTTTTTTCATGCCAAAAACAGTTTTAGGATGGGCTGACATGGAAAATGTGTTGAATCGTTCGGACGGGGCAATAAATGTGAATGTTTAAGCTTATATAACATAAGAAGTTAAACTCTATTTCTCTTACAGATATTGCCAGTGGGAAGGGACCACAAACCATGATAACGAAGCTCGCATGTAAAGCTCAACAGTTTAATAAATGTGTCAAGAAAGTTGAAGGTCATATAAAACGTCTTGGTAATGAGAATGATCGTGAACGAGCGCGACTGTGGGCAGATTTAGCTAAAACAGCACGTAAACATGAAGTATGGGATGTCTGTCGAGTAGCGGCCAGGTTTACTCTACTGTATGATGATGATAGATGGAAGAGTGTTTCTGAAGACAGGTAGGATACTTTACCTAGATTTGGTATTTTTCAGATTATCTTTGATTATTGAAGCCCAGTATTTAACTAAACAACATTTTCAGAGAGTCCACATGGCTAATACATATTATTTGGTATTTAGGTTTGTCAACTCAGTATCCCTTTCTTAACTGGTTTATTTGGAATTTAGCATTACTGGCCATAATTTGTCAACCTAGGTTTCAATTTGAGATAATAATATTATTTTGATATTTTCTAGTCCAGTAACAGTGAGTAGAGAGAAAGAAAGTCGTGAAGATGGAGCTACATCTGAAATAGAGAAGAAATCAACAAGTCGTATTGGAAGTCGTCCCACCACCCCAGACCAATCTCTACCTTTATATAATAAAGATTTACTACGGATACTAGCTGAGGTTAATTTTATACTAGGAGAGGTAAGTTTGATTGATTTCTGTTCGTGTTTAGCGAATAATCTTGAAGGGTTATGAGGAGGTTTTCTGAAGGTTTTCTAGATTTTTTGTGTATAGATGCCATGATATGGTTTGACCTAATTTTCAGACGCTTGTGATATCTGTAATTATAGAATATATGTGACGGAACTATCACAGATGTGATAATACCTAAGGGGCTCTGTGATAGTTACGTCATAAACCACTTAGTGAAAAATTGCAGGAAACAGACATGAAATTGAAAATTAGAATGATGTAAATTGATGCTTTCAGTGTCCCTGATACACATGAAAAGGTTAGGAGTTTATTTTCATGAAAAATGAATAATTAAAATAATTTGTGATTTCAGGCGTATATTCATCTATTACGTTCTGAGAAAGTTGAACTGAACAATGTACCAATACCTCCAGAAGATACGAGAAAAAGACCAAAAGGTTATGTTGCGAAGAAACCAGAGGAAGATCCTGATTGGTTGGAATATTGGTAAGTCATTTATCAGGTGCCCGAGTTGAACTTTTTGTTTGCATTTGATTGTTGTGTCCAAAGTTTAAACTTCGATATCCCATCAGTAAAATGTGTGAACATTTTCTTTAGTGTAAAATTAGAGAGTTATTGCCCTTGATTTACTAAAAAAAAATAAAAGCTCAATTTCATGTTAAAAATTTATCTTTTTACAGTGATTGGATCAAGATGTTATCTGAAATGTCAACTAAAAGTTTTCTACGAGGGTTAGAACTAGGCGTAGTGTTGGATGAAGCGTGGTTGGTCTGCAGTGCTGCCGCCTATATCTGGAACTATAATAACCACGTCCTGGCTGGTAATAGACATCGTGAGATATTAGACACTCTATCAGCCGTGTTGGATGGTTTACGACAAGTTGGACACGCTGGGTGAGTTGAATTTAATTATCTTCATCACGATTTGTTGTTACTCGTGCCTATCACCTCTGATTTTGTATAATTAATTAACAAAATGATGAAAGTTTTGATTGTGGAACTTCAGGTGAAATATTATCACTATACTATATAATGTGCATCCATAGTTTAAGTAAAAATACATGTTTGTACAATGTTTAACAAGTGTCTTGGATATGGATACTCCATTCCTAAAAAAAACCTAAATTTGAGAGTCACTGAGATAAAACTTTGTATTTATTGAAGGATTAAAGATTAGGATTTGGTTTTTATTCTTTCATTAATGAAAAACCTTTTTTTGTTAACAGAGAAACAGTCATGTTGGTGAATATCTGTAATGCCCTAGCATATAGTTTAATTCTACCTTGGATCCCTGCCCCTGCACCTAAAGAAGTTCAGGAACCCCCTACCTCCCCCTCCCCTGATGAGAAGGGTAAGGATAAGAAACCAGTAAGAGCAACTGTTGGAACAGCTAAAAGTAAAGGTGGTGTTACCGTGACGATATGTTCCGAGGCTCAACCAGATCTTAAGAAAGCTATTGAGGTATGTATACTTGTTTTAATTATTTCAAACTTTTCTCATGTGATCATCCTCTGACTTCCGACCTCTGACCTTCATTTCCTGACCAACTATCTGAATTATTTGAAAAATGACTTGCGGTGTAAACATAAGTCCAATAGCTTACAATATCTTTTCCAGAGAGTCCACATATTTAATTAATTAGCATATAATGTTTATAATTGACATTCCTTGTGAATATTTTGCATTAGTTACGTAGCTAAAACTTTTTCTACCATTTCCAAATGTTTTTTACATTCTATTAGGTGTGTGAATACGGTATTCAGGTAACCAATGGTGACAATACACGAGATATAGTACCAATATCAATACGTCTACCGTTATTACAAACCTGGGTCTGTGTTAAACAGATGGCGCTACAACAAATTCCTAAAACACTGGGAACAGACGATGAGGTATGATAATTAAATTAGAATATTGATATTGAACTATAATGATAACATATTACATCATATAGATGTTAGTCTTGAACAGGGAATAGAAATACTATCTTATACTTGATATTGAAACTTATACTATTAGTGTATTTTAGGAATTGAATCAGAGGAAAGATAATTGCTATGATGCCAGTCTGAGTATTAGCTAGTCTAGCCTAGTAGACATGGTGTTTAAGAACCGAATTTGTAAAATTATTGCTATGAAATTCGGATAAGGATATGCTGTTAACTTTATAGAATTCTGTTTTATTTTTAGACGAATATGGAAGGACAGAGAGGAATGACGAAAGCCATTGTTGCTACGGAGATGTCAGCTTTATCTAAAAATGGCATCATGGAATTTAAAGATGGAATAAATTTAACAGAGGTAAGTGTTGGATTATATCTGCTAAGAAATTTTTTACTATGATGTTGACTTGAATGAGCCTCAGGGAGATGAAAATTCTTGTCATGGAGATTGCTATTCAAACTTTGCCTGATGTCATTTTCAATGTTTTGTATTGATAAAAAGTAACCCAAGGGTAAAAGATTTTGTCTCTAATTTCAGATAACTCAACTGGTAGAAAATTGTAGATGGACTGAAAAATTTATTGAGCTGCAACTTTGGTCCAAGTTGACGTTTTTATCTTTTGATCAGAAACAACATTCATTAGTGCTGAAATGTAGTGAAAAAGCTTTGAGGTTCGCTGTAGTTGGAACACAACCTAAAAATAGAAAAATGGATCCGTAAGTTTCGATTGTTTTATGCTAAAAATTAGAGATGTTCTTGATAAATGACACTGGACCAAATATTTCTAAATCAATATGAAAAAAACATGAAAAAACTATAAATAAAATGGTCAATGACACTAGTTTTTGTTGATTTTTCATTGTATGAGAAATTACAATCTAGATTTATTCAACAAAATTTTAGAATTTAGAAACCAGCATCCCTGGTTTCAACAATTTTTCATAAATCAAAGTTTCTGATGAAAGTCAAATATTTGTTAAGATAAATTATTTTTAAAAGTAGTGAAATATGTAATTAAAATCTGACTCATTTGAATTTATTACAGACATAGAGCTATGGTGGAACAGGAAATGTTGAGTTATACCAGTTGCATCTTGGGACAAAGTTTAATGGTAAATATGGCGGGAAAGAATTCAATCAGACGTCAAGCAATGGAGGCTTTCTTGAATAGCGCTAGGTTTGTATTTTTATTAGTTCTATGTTAGTTTGTGTCTTTTTTAAACTTGGGTTTTACCCCTTATTGTTTCCGAAGGAAACTAAGAAAAGTTTTGTGATCTTGGTATCTGTATCAGCGACATTTCTAGCTTGTTTTCTATTTGACCTGATCAAGTATTAACATAAATGGGCATCATAATCGAGTAAAGTTTTTGTAAAATAACAGGAATCACAAACGTCGGACGAGAAATTGGCATGATACAAATAGAATTCAAATGTAAGGTCTATTAATCATAGAATTGATATGTTGTTTACATAAATTATATTCAATATTTTCAGATATGCCAGAAACGCTAAGAATTATGGTCTAGTTATGTCAGCAGCTCGACATTATTGGAACGCATGTGTACCGCTACTCAATCAACCAATAGAACGCGAGTTAATAAAAGAACCTGTTCGTGTTTTATTACAATGTATTACAGCAACGGCTGATTCTCCTAAAAAAGAGGTCAGATTTTTATCTATTTTGTAAAAGATGTCGTATGTGAAAGTTTTCTTTCTAACCCTGTTTATATTCTAGTATGATGAAGACATTGTATAAAGAAACTACAAGCATGACACAATCTGTCGTTTTAACTTACACCAAGGATCAGCTGGTAGACTAGGATCTAAGTTATTATTCTCGTGAAAATATTACCAAGGATCCTCTTTGACTAGGTGATTAACACAATCTATGAGAACTGAAGTTGTTTTCCTTGTTTAGAAGAGTAGAAAAGAGTGAACACAGCTAATATTTATTTCTATAACAGGATAAAGAAGAGAAGACAGGACAGGGTGAGGGAATTGTCAATATCAAGGGAGATAATAAAGAGGAAGAGAAATCAAGTCGTCTGGTTGGTGGTATAGATGATGATCTCTCCCTCCGTGCTGCCTTATATGGTCTGTTATTCCAAGCTTACGCAGATAGGGTAAGACTTAAATATCTGTCGATAGTTTTTGAATTTAGAATCAAGTATTGATGCATACCTGTGTATGATTCTAAACACAAACACTTAAAAACACTTAAAAACACTAAAAAACACTGTAAGTCTGACTTGGTTAAGTTTCAATTACTGTAAACATTCAACCTGAAATCTAAACTAAATTTAAATTTATAAAATATGTATTAATTTAAAATGTTAATTTACAGGGAGAATGGGAAGAATCTATGGTTGCTATGGATCAAGCTATAACAGACATGCCTCGTACTAAACATCGTCTGTGAGTTTATATATATATATACCTGTATTACCTAGCTCATAACAACTCATTTACTAACTTTTTATTGGATATTTACTTCTTCAAAACAGTTTGATTAAAAATATACTCATTGTTTCTAGTAATACTAGTTTTAATGTATGACAGAAAATTCTCAGTAGCTTTAGTCATGATACAAGAATACAAAGTGATCATAATCTGACAGGGCACAGCACTGAGCCACTACCACCATCCCCCTCCCCCTAATCTGACAGGGCACAGCACTGAGCCACTACCACCATCCCCCTCCCCCTAATCTGACAGGGCACAGCACTGAACCACTACCACCATCCCCCTCCCCCTAATCTGACAGGGCACAGCACTGAGCCACTACCACCATCCCCCTCCCCCTAATCTGACAGGGCACAGCACTGAGCCACTACCACCATCCCCCTCCCCCTAATCTGACAGGGCACAGCACTGAACCACTACCACCATCCCCCTCCCCCTAATCTGACAGGGCACAGCACTGAGCCACTACCACCATCCCCCTCCCCCTAATCTGACAGGGCACAGCACTGAGCCACTACCACCATCCCCCTCCCCCTAATCTGACAGGGCACAGCACTGAGCCACTACCACCATCCCCCTCC